GATATCCGATCTGAAAACAAATGTGGGGGTAACAAGGTCATTTTGTTGGAAAAGGACCATGTTATCCCCACATTTTGTGCATTTTTTTATTCTCCATTCATGCTAAATTTTGCATTTTTTTGTTAGCCTTCACAACGCAACCCAGCCGAGCCTAAAAATATACATGCATATGCATAAGGTATGTTGACACTTTGAACTTTCTTCATATAAGCCCTGTACTGCAAGTCCTGTCTGTTAAAAGGGTATTTGAATGAGACTGGATGGGAGTGCATGCTTCTATGTTTCCATAGACCCGTAAATCGCTCCTCTTACCTTTCAATACCACAAATCATACCAACTGTATCCGTCATCGCCCGTATGTGGGAACCTACTGTATGTGGTTCCCACAGTGGGAACCCACAGTAAGTTCACATACCAACTCAAATCATATCCGTCATCGCCCGGATATAAGACATATACGGTATGTCTTATCTCATACACTAGAAAAAAATGCCTGGGTTGTCTTGTATTTGTGGGACGGTTTAGGGTGTCTTATACGTAAGTCTTATAAATGGACAAAAATCCGTTTAGAAGATACCCCCTCGTTATACAATTGCCCCTAACCCCTACACTGGCTTAACTCGTACACACAAGGTGTCTTATAATGAGGCTACCCCGTTTATAAGAGACACCCGGATAATAGACGCCCCCTATCTTCTATTCAACACGGTCTTTCACAATAGTAGCACAAGTGGGGGCTAGGTTTAAGTGAGGGCCTAGGCTTAGTAGCCTAGGCCAAGGGGAGTCGAGTGAGTTGTGGCAAGGAGAAGTGTCGAGAATTGTGGTGTTCACTATAGCACGAGGGTACATATAGCAAACAAATGAAGAGGTGCACCACCTACAAAGTTAATAACTACACTACAGCTAGAACTACATGCACTTATACAAAACATATGCAATATATGTTCTAACACACCCCCTAAGTGCATGCAGGAATAACCTTGTGCAGAACTCCCCTTGAAGTGGTGCGCCCTGCAAGGAGTAGCAGAAGAAGAGGCGAAGTGAGGAGGAGGAGGGACTGTGAGAGGAGTGGAGATAGGAGGCGACAGGTGAAGCCGCAGTCACACGGGCAACAGGAGCGGCGCGCACAGTGGCTACCGAGCGCACGAGGGCACCGGACTACGGGAGTATCTGGCTCCGCGGCTACGACGAGGCCACAGGCGACTGGCGAAGCAGGCTCGCTGGGCTACCGAGAGCACGAGGGCTCCGGACTACTGGCGCTGATGACGACACGACGGCGACCTCCGCTCAACCTCCTCTAACAGTCCCACACCCCCTTCTCACACACCCCCTTGCTGCACCCCTGGCTCCACTCCCACGACACCCCCTTAGCTCCACTCCCCTCGGCTCCCACACATCCACCCCCCTTCAGCGGCAGCTGCAGCAGTGGGAGACGAAGAAGGAGGAGGAGGAGGAGGGGAAGGGTGGCACCCACACTCATCACCCCCACACCCGCCACCCCCATACCCTCCCCCCCACGGCTGCACGAGGGCAGGCGCAGGTGAGGCAGGGGCGGCTGCACGAGGGCAAGCGCGGGTGAGGCAGGGGCGGCTGCACGAGGGCAGGCGCAGGTGAGGCAGGGGCGGCTGCACGAGAGCAGGCGCGGGTGAGGCAGGGGCGGCTGCACGAGGGCAGGCGCGAGTGAGGCAGGGGCGGCTGCACGAGGGCAGGCGCGGGTGAGGCAGGGGCGGCTGCACGAGGGCAGGCGCGGGTGAGACAGGGGCGGCTGCACGAGGGCAGGCGCGGGTGAGGCAGGGGCGGCGCACCGAGTGCAGACGCGGGGGCGGCTGCTCGAGGGCAGGCGCAGGTGAGGCAGGGCGCGGGCGGGCTCCATGGGGCGGCGTCGCGGGGTCCAGGGGCGGCGTCGCGAGGTCCAGGGGCGGCGTCGCGGGGGTCCAGGGGCGGCGTCGCTGGGTCCAGGGGCGGCATCGCGGGGTCCAGGGGCGGCGTCGCGAGGTCCAGGGGCGGCGTCGCGGGGGTCCAGGGGCGGCGTCGCGGGGTCCAGGGGCGGCGTTGCGGGTGCAGGGCAGGCCCGCGCGCGGCCTGCAGGGCAGGGCGACTGGCAGAAAAGGCCCGCGCACGGCCGTGGGGCAGAGACCCGCCGCGCGCCCAAGCGCGCGACAGGACGACAGGCAGCGGAAGCTAGTTGGTGGGCCCGTTAAGGAAGGCGGCAGGAACGTGCCTGCTCTGAATACCATTTCACAATAGTAGCACAAGTGGGGGCTAGGTTTAAGTGAGGGCCTAGGCTTACCGTAGTAGCCTAGGCCAAGGGGAGTCGAGTGAGTTGTGGCAAGGAGAAGTGTCGAGAATGGTGGTGTTCACTATAGCACGAGGGTACATATAGCAAACAAATGAAAAGGTGCACCACCTACAAAGTTAATACCTACACTACAGCTAGAACTACATGCACTTATACAAAACATATGCAATATATGTTCTGACACTGTCTTAGGGTACATTCCTGTGTGGACACTTGTGTCTCAATGCCCGTTTTCCCGAGTCGCGTCGAAACATTTGGGCATTCTCGCGTCACAAAAAAGGAATGTATCGCGACACTATGCGACCAGGCGAAATGTGAAGTTCTGCGCATTTGATTGGGTGACACGATGACCGTACACCCATTTTCTCAACCGATTGGCTGGGGTGAGGTTTCGACGCGCGGGATTGTTTTCCCGCGCGAAATTGGCATTGGGCGCTGTCCAGGTGCATTGACATTGCGAATCGCGTGCGATTTCAAAAAAATGACGAGTCAATTTGCAACTCGTCAGCGACGTCAGCGCATTCCACGCTGACCAATGAAACATACAGTATTGGTCGCTGAAACGCGACTCGCATTTGGGACACACTTCAGTTTATGTTGTTTTTGGGTGTCACAAAGCGTTTGAGACACAAGTGTCCACACAGGAATGTACCCTTATATCCGGGTGATGACGGGTAGTCGTGTCATAGTGTCCCTTGAAGCTTGAATTCATCGAGCCCAAACGTTGGATGCTTCAGCAGCACGTGTTGTTTGTGAAACGTTGATACATGCAGGTCATGTAATGGGGGACTGTGGCCTAGTTATTCAACAACCATAATCATTCAGCTTTAGATGGTTGGCTGGATGAATTATTAGCAACAACATACCTGCACTGCAAATTCGCCTTCCAATCTCCTACCTACATCCAATCTATGGCTGAGGAGACACGTCTTGTTGCATTGACTCATATCATTATCACTTGAAAACTCATCTGGTTAAAAAGAAAGGCTTCCGGCAACACTACGCCCTTTCCCCATCGAGCTAGACCAGGCAGTGGGAGTGCTGCCCTTGTCACCACGACCCTGACGTGTGCATGTGTGAAGCGGTTGAGAGGGGTTGTGCAGGCAGAGTGGACGACCCAACTGCTGCTGCTGCTGCTGTTGCTGGTGCTGCTAGTGCTGCTGTTGACTCTGCTGCTGCTGCTGCTGTTGGCTCTGCTGCTGCTGGCTCTGCTGCTGCTGCAACACCATATCGGAGTTAATGCAGGAGGACGGACGCCATGATGGAAAGGCCACAGTGGAAGCGGCAGAGCTCGTTGCTGACTTCATCCGCCTTCGTGCCTTTCCGAACATTCTCCCTGTTCCCACCACCGGACCCACTGCAGCTCCCTCTGCTGCCACTGCTGCAACGGCTGCTACAGCGGTGGCCCCTGCGTCACTCAACACCACTGCTGCTTCTGGATCAACCCCTGTGCCAGCAGCACCCACTGCAACGCCAACCTCTGCTGCCATACCTCCTGCTACTACTCCTGCCACTACTGCTTCTGGTGCCTCCTCTACTTCTGCTGCTCCTCCTGCCGCTACTGCTGCTGTTGGCTCTGCTGCTGCTGCCGTTGGCTCTGCTGCTGCTGCAGTTGGCTCTGCTGCTAACTGCAGGGCATGGGGAGTGAGGTGAAAAGGGCAGGGTTGAGGGGGATAGAGGTGAGAAATGAAGGGTACAGAGAGAAATTATCGATGCTGCTGGCGCTGCTGCAGACAGGGAAGTAGGCGTGGTGTAGAGAATGGGAGGTGAGGGGAGAGGGACAAGGTCGAGGCGGGTAACGGTGTGAAACAGAAGGTACGGATAGAATAGGATCAACTGAGGAATTCGTTGGAAATTGGGCCAGAGGGGGGGAGGAGAGGGTGGGGGGGAAGGAACGAAACCGAAGGAAGGGATAAACGGGAATCACTCACTTCAGTGTGCGCCATTGAGTTGTATGAAGTAAAGAAGTGATTCACCAATGCCATGCGCTGCTGTTCAACTTGTGTTGCCTGCAATGCAGACAGAAAGGCAAGTGAAGACACTGGACGGGGTGAAGCATAGAGTGTGACATACCCACACACACTCACACACACGTGTCTTTCAGGTGCGCGTGGGTACCATGTAGACGTGCAAGCAAATGTGCACGGCACGGCAGGCTAGGCATAGGCAGTAGCAGCGGCTTTTGTGCACCCAACCCATGACTGCTGGCTCACCGCGTGCGCGTGCTGACACGAGGTAGGAATGTACCCTAATACGGGCTACATCTTTGTGTAATAATACGGGCAAGTCAAGAATTAGAAATATCATGTACTGTAATCGGTATCTTTCACGGATAAAAAAACGGCCGCAACACCACCCATGCTTTCAATACATTATACACGTAGAGCATTTATCAATGCAAAGGCTGGCCGACCACACAAAATGCAACTGGCGTCTGCAGGACACTGTGAGCCCCACGCTGCAGCCCCTTCGGCTGCTGTCCATCATAGTGCCTGTTAGTTCTACGCTGAGGTAATCCAATTAATAGCACAATCACTTAGGCTCTGAAGGAAACCCTAAACCAAACTGCAGGGTTAGCATATGTTACAGGTGTTAGTTAGCTTGCCATGGGTGCTGCTGCTCCAATTACCGAGGCAAAGTTGGTCAAGCGGAACCGTTCCACTTGCCAAGCTGCCTGCACAGTGTCTGCCGCCTCTCACCCTCACTGTGCTTCATCTCTTGCTGCTTCCTTCCACTGGTCGCGTGGTGGCAGTGGCTGCGAGTAGTAGTGTCGAGTGCGCGGCTGCATGGCTGCTGCACTCCCACCCACACCTCTGCCCTCGCCTGCCCCCGCCCCCACCGCACTGCCTCCCTTGCTCCTGCTCGTGGACCGCCTCACTCGCCCGCGCCCTGCCTGCCCCTGCCCTCCGTCGCCCGGCCCCTCGGGTGCTCTGCTGCTGCGGCGGGAGCGCGAGGAGGTGGAGGCGGGGCGGGAGGAGTGGCTGCCGACGGACGACAGGCTCTCCGCCTCCGAGTCCGAGTCCGCCACGCTCGAGCCCCCCGTGAAGCACCCCACCAGCCCGCCGCTCTGCATGGCCTTGCGCAGCGTCGGCGTGTCCAGCCCTGCAAACGCCGGGTCGTCATACGGATTCTCCACCGCCAGCGCCCCTCCCTCCTCCACGCTGCTGCCCGCCACGCTCTCCTGCACCCCCCCAACCACCGCGGGTGGTGGCGGCATGGGCGGCGCCCCCTCGGGCAGGCGCGACGACTTGGACTTGCCAAAGCCCACGACGCCCGCCCAGCGTGAGGAGCGGCGCGAGAGCGATGAGGACCAGCGGCCGTCGCTGTCGTTGGACCCCACCGACAGCGCGTCCGCGCTCACCTGGCGCGGCACGGACGAGGGTGAGGGCGATGATGACACGGACGCCGGCACCGACAGGTTTGAGGGGCGCATTGGCGATGAGCCGTGGTCCTTGAAGCTGCCGCTGCTGCTGAAGAAACCACCCTCCGCCCCGCCGCCACTGCTGCTGCTACTGCTCCCTCTTGCTCCTTTCTTGCTCCGACTTTTGCGCCCCTCACTGTGCCCACCCCAACCCGCCCCCCCTTCCCCTCCACCTCCCCCTCCCCCTCCCCCGTCCCCATCTCCTCCTGTCCCTTGTCTGGGCGAGCGTTGGGGTGTCCGGGAGTGGTGTGGGGGGGTGGTGGGGGGGAGATCCGCGGAGGGGGAGCGTAAAGGGGAGGAGAACATGGGCGGAGTGGAGGGGCGGTCGGAGCCGTTATTGCTGCCGCTGCTGCCCTTGCGGCTGGACGTGCGGCTCGCTTTCCTCCCAGACGGCGGGGCAGCTGCACCTTGCCCGCCCCTGCCCCCTGCCCCTCCATCCCCTGCGCCCGGGGCCTCAGCAGCATAGCCGTCGCGATCAGAGGCGAGGCTGGAGGGCGTGGAGGGGCCGTCCGTGGACAGCGAGGGGTCGCGCGACAGCCGAGAGGAGCGGCCGCGGGTGGGCTTGGCGCTGGAGGCGCTGCCGGCCTCGGAGAGGGAGAGGGAGGGCGAGGAGGCGCCGAAGGTGGTGTTGTCGTCGGTGGACGCGTCCGACACCCAGCTGCCGCTGCGCCGATCCATCGACGCCCCGCGCCCCTCCTCCTGCCCCACCCGCACCCGCGCAAACGCCCCTCCTCCCATGCTCCCTGCCGCCGCTGCTGCTCGTCCGTCCCCCCTGCCGTCCATCCCCCCGCCCTGCACCTGCCACTGCCCTCCTTGCTCGCCGTACTCGCCCCCGCTGAACTGCCCCTCGCTCCCACCACCGTACCCGCCTCCCCCGTATCCCCCGCCCTCCACAAACCCCCCAGCGTGCGCGCCCTGCTGCGCGCCCCCCTGCGCGGCGTCCCTGCGCGGCCCCCTACGCTCGTCCGCGACCTTGAAGACCTGCCCGCCGAACCAGTCCTCCTCGCGCGCCTCCATGCCCCACTGCCGGCGGAAGCCGCGCTCGTCCTCCTCCTGGCTGCGCGCGAGCGCGAGCGAGTAGTCGGCAGTGGCGGGCGCGTGCAGGGAGATGCTGCCGATGGGCGCCTCGACGCCGCAGATGCGGCACAGCCCCAGCAGCACGTCCACCAGCGTCGCGTTCACCGCCGCCACGTTCGCGTAGTAGAACGTCTGGTGCGTCGCAGGGGGAAATGGGTGGGGGGGGGCAACATGGGGTCTGACGTGCGCGGAAGGGGATAGTGTGTGCGTCCGCATGCAACCAAGTGCGCACACGCAGGAACATGCAGAGAGGCGCGAGCAGTGCGCGGCACTGACCTGCACTTGGAAGACCATTTCGCCGAAGTCAAGAGCGGCGCCGGGCGTGTGCAGCGAGTGCCAGTGGATGGTGTTGTGCGCCATGGTGGGCAGCAGCAGCAGCCCGCGCTTCAGGTTCGCCTCCACGCGGCCGTCCGCGGTGAAGTTGAGGGGGTCCTGCAGCTGCACGCGCAGCAGGTACTGGATGGAGCGCGGCAGCATGTCGTAGAGCTCGTCGCGCGTGGGGCCGAGCACGGCGTCGGGCTGCTGGATGATGCGCTCCAGCAGCACCACCACGTTCGCGTAGTGCAGCGCCAACCCCGCCGACCCCAAGGACGCGTCGCGGATGCGCGCGGGGCACATGCCGTGGCCGAACGACGCGAAGATCTTCTTGCGCACGTAGCACGCCGCCACCACCAGCAGCTGCGCGCGCGCATGGGTAGGGTGGGGATGGGGGGAAGGGGGCACGTGGGCACGTTCAGAGGCGGGTGACAAGGCACGAGCGCGAGACGATGGAGGCGGGAATTCGCCTCCACGAGGGAGTGGAGGGGAAGGGCGCACGTGCAGGAGGGGGAGGGCTTACCTGCAGGAGGGGGAGGGCTTACCTGCAGGAGGGGGAGGGCGTACCTGCACGAGGTAGTCGAGGTTGTAGGCCCAGAGGCAGTGGCCCTGCAGCTTCTCCACCAGCTTGCCCTGCGTCACCATCTCCTGCAGCGAGTTCCACTCCCCGTACTCCTGTATGCTGCGCGCAACAAGCGCCAACGGCAGGGGGGGGATGGGGAAGGGGGAGAGGGCAGGGCAGGGGACGAGGGCGCAGAAGATGAGTGGAGGTTTGGCGAGGAACGGGGTGACGGCGGGCGCGGAAAAATGTGTTTTTGGTACTGGAGGGAGTGCAACGCGCGTACCGGGAGTGCAGCAGCGGGCTTACCGGGAGTGCAGCAGCTGAATGGCTTCCATCTCCGCCTTGAGCGTGTTGGTCGCCTCCGCCTGCTCGCGCATGAACCTGCCACCGCGCACACCGCCACACCCGCACGCACACACCATCGCACGCACCATCGCACGCACCATCGCACGCACGCATCATGACACGCACGCATCATTGCACGCACAGATATACCCTTGCACTTATGAGGACACGCACGCACGGATGGCCGCACGCATTGACCGTCACCACACCCTATCCTCTCTGCAACACGCCCATCCCATCCGCCCATCCCCTCTCCGCCCATCCCTCTCCGGCCACCCCTGCACCGCCCTTCCCCGGTCCGCCCGCGCCAGCACGGCGGAGGGCGCGCGCGCACCTGAGGAGCACCTCGCCCTCGGCGGAAGAGACGGCGAAGTCCTTGTAGTTGGCGTCCGGCGAATCCAGGTGCGCCAACACGCGCTCCAGCCGCCGCAGCCGCACGTCCGCGCCCTTGCGCCCCAACACCGCCACGCGCGCCGCCACCACGCGCAGCTCCTCGTGCTTCTCGTACCCTGGGGGGACGACGGGGGGAGACGCGGGACAGAACAGAACGGGGGGGAGGAAAGGGGGAAGCGGATTGGAGGGGAGGAAAGCGGGAAACGGACAGCAGTAAGGACGAATGGGAGTAAGACACATAAATCGTCGAAGTGCGGCAGAGAGCCAGGCGGGGAAGGGGGAACGTGGCTAGGCGCGGTATGGGGTCGCCTGATGAAGGCCAATGCGCGAAAGGTAGGGCGACAAGATACGCTGCTAGCGAGAGCAGCGCGGAATGGAGAAATAGTGGTAGGCTGGCCGCCGGCACTTCTCCTCCCCTCCCCCCCCCCCTCGTCTCTGGCCTCGAGTCGTATATCGCAGGGCCTCACAGCCATTCAACGTCGCCTGCCACACCCTAGTGTCTGTGACGACCTACTGCCTGCAACGCCCTGTTACCTGCGTGCGAATGCGACGGCATGCGACTGGCATTCACTGGGACGGCCTGCGACTGGCTCTTACCTGCGAGGCCCCAGAGCACCCGAAGGTCATTGGAAATGAGCGTGACCACTCCCGGTGCCTGCACGCACCACACACGGGGAAAGGGGCGCGGGGATGACGGGAAAGAGCAGCGCACGCGTGGGTTGGGGACGCCTGGACACTTCGCAGTGGCGGAGACGAAACACGCGGAGCAGAGCAGGCGGCACAGACAACGAGTAGGGAGCGAGGAGGTACGGTCAGCGGCACTTAAGGGGCGATGGAGGGAGGCACGAAGGAAGAGGAGGCAGCTGGATGGCAGAGGGGAGCAGAATTGGGTCACCTGGAGGTTGGAGCGCAGCGACGAGAGCATCTTCTCCGCCATGGAGTCGTATATTTCGAGCATGCGCCGCATGATGCTGCCGATTTCGAACGCCAGCATCTCCGTCGGGACCTCCTTCAGCCTCCCCGACGGCGCGCCTGATCCCTCGCCGTAGAACGCACGCTTCACGATCTTCTTAAGCGTGGCCTCACCAATCGCCGCAATCGACGGTGAGCCCAAGCGCAGCGGCGAATCTGGCCGCAGGTCCTGCGCCGCCGCCACGGCCACGTGTTGTGGGATTGGCGTTCCGGCGTAGGGAACGGCATTTTGAGATTTCTCGGAGCTGTGGCTGCGATTGATGCTGTCCGAAGCCTCTCCTCTCGTTTTCTTCTTGCCACCATGGTTGTGAAACACCTTGTTGATGGTCTTATACATCGCCTCGCCCCTGATGGACAGATACGCGTGTAATGCGAACTGCCTACTTGATTCGCTCTACAATCTTACTGCTTCCAACGGCTGGGACGCTACGAACAACGCCCCGACGAGGAGACAAAGGCAAACAAAGCCTAATCGTGAGGACATGGCTGTTACGATCCTATCTCAAAACATGTGCAACCCTAATCTGTAATGTCAAGGCTTGGTAAAATGGAGCTCTGTAAAAAACGGAGGTGACGTCAACCAACTGACCCCTGTTACGGTCCTGCTTCCATTGCTGCCGCTGCCTGCATCTCTCTACTCTACTGACTCTGCTGCAGCAGACCCACTTCGGAATTGGGGAGGAAGCGGAGAAAGCGGTTATTGAATTGGAAGTTGTGCAGTTCGTCGTTTCCCTCCAACGGCAGCAGTGGTCGTGTGGCAGGGCATGGCGCAAAAAACCCGCCTTGAGTTCTTCCGAAGGGGCAGAACGAACCAAACAGAATGGAACGGGGAGGACCACAATTGTTTGCGGTTGCTGCCCTTGCGCTGCTGGACTACTGAGGAGGGGCAGCGAAGCGAGGCGAGATGAGGGGAGGGGCCAGCCAGCCACCACAGCAGCGCGTGACCTGACAGGCTACTGTCTCTCGCTTCTTCCAGCCCCTTGCCCTCCGAAAGAATGACGTGTTTGGGAAAACCCCGCGAGAGTTGGTAGCTTGTGTGAGCGCAATGCGCAAGCCATGATCGGATCAGGCGGATTCGCATCCGCTGCGCCTGTGGGGGGAAAGAAAGAACTGAGCCAGCGAACAGCGACAGCGAACACCTCGAATGTAGGCGCCCACAACGACAGCTGGCAAATCTAGCACCGTCGGGTAAGACATCACCAAGGTTCTTGTTGGTTTCACCAGATTGCGGAACAATTGTACCATGGTGCTGTTCTCTTGGAGTTTTCATCGCCGCACCGTTGGTGGATTGGAAAATTTCGTGCAGGTGCCTTTTTGGTTGACTTGGCAACACAGGAAGGTACAGTTATAACCGAGGTAAACTTCTCGTTTGAACAGCTCAGCCAAACTCGGGTCTGCCCTTTTGAACACGGTCTGCGAAATGATAACCGAGGGTAACCTGACCCACTTCGTACCTTCTCCCACATTCGTGCCTTCAAGTCATTCTCGTAGTTTTCCATCTGCTAGTAGAAGGTCTTCAGATTTCACTCGTCAATAAGTAGGTGCGGCATACTTAAAGAAATAAGTATGGAGCTATCTTTTGATCCGCTTCGGTTAAGCCAACCTCAGTTCCTCTGCTCGAGGACGCAAGAGTTAGGCGACACGTTTTTTGATCGTCTTACCAAGGGTCGAATTACAGCCCTACGTCTAGTTTTGCATGACCTATGCGTTCGAGCAGCAAGAGGGTACTTGCGTGAACCTAAACACACATCGATTTTAAGCGGTCATGCATATGCGCAGGAGTTACTGTCCGGCCATCCTGAACGCATGCGCTGCACATTTCGGATGGAACCCGTTTTGCTCGTTAATCTCTGCGAGCTTCTCAGTAGTAAGGGCGTATTAGGTCCTAGTCGGCACCTCAGTATACTCGAACAGGTGCTAATATTTGCGCACTTCTTAGGCCAGACCGCTTCCAACCGCGTGTTGCAAGAGCGTTGGCAGCACAGCGGGTCAACCATCAGTGCCGTTATCAACAGAGTTTCTAAAGCCATTGTGCGAGTAAAAAGGTATTTCATACAAATGCCCACTAGCGATGACGGTCAGTACCTATCCACGCGACCTGAATTCAGTCATTTCACAGGAGCGCTGGGTGCAGTCGATGGCACACTCATTCCAGCGTGTATTAGCCTTAATGTGCAGCAACCATGGTTCGATCGACACAGTAAAGTTTCGCAGAATGTGCTCGCTGTTGTCTCGTTTAAAGATACTTTCTTGTTCGTCCTTGTAGGCTGGGAAGGTTCTGTACATGATTCCTCCGTGTTCCAAGGTGCATTGGAGAAGGGGCTTCGCCTTCCACAAGGCACGTACCTCCTGGCGGATTCGGGATTTCGAAACGACGCCAATTGTTTGGCGCCCTACCGCCAGGTATTATACCACCTGAAGCGTTGGCAGCAGATTCATCCTAGTATCCATCGTATGTCTCCCAACCACCTCTTCACGACGCGCAGGCGATTCTCCAACTGGTCCACTGTGAAGCATCTGTCTACGTGAATGCGATTCCACTCTTGCTGAATCTCAAACCAGTGAGTGATGACGTCAGAAGGACTAAGGTCATGGGCAGCTTGAACTTGTATGACGAGTTCGAGAAATTCGGTTGTGAGTTCGTGCGTCCAATGGGCTACTAGGCCCTGGGAGGTAGAGGCACCACCACCCCAATTTTCGGTTACCTCCTCACCCAGAGCAGCAGTATCGGACACCGAGTTTGCGACCCCTCGAGATGGGGGCGTTTGGCCTGAACATGGGCGTATACGTCAACGTGAAGAACGCCCATGACTGGGCGGACCAACCACCGGCAATGGCGCTGACCTCGCGCTTACAGCTCCGCTACTTTCAATCCCCGTAGTGCCTTGAACAGAGGGTGTAGTCAAAGGGGCACTACCAGCTACAGTGCTGGTGAGTGATCCACCGGATGCGGTGGACGAAGCTTCCCTAAGACGCTCTAGCAATTCAGTGCTTTCCATGGCAACCCGCAGTTTCACGCCATCTCACGTACGCAAACGGATGTAGTCTCTAGAGGACGTGATACTAAACTCGTTGAATATCTAATGCAAGATCAATGTGGGACGTAAGAGAAAGTAGGTCCTATTTTTTGCGGAGGGAACAATATTTTGAATAAGCAAATCGGTTTTACTTCTCTAAACCAAAAGCGTCGACTGTGATGTTAACCAGTCATCTTCGTAAAGGCAACGATAAGGACAAGTCTTGATCAGCCTGAGATATGAGTATCGAGCAGCAAGAACTTGAGAAAATTTTCTTGAAATTTGAACGCGGTCAAGTGTTGGGCGTTCAAGCTTACCACGAGCAAAGAAGTGGGCTGATGGTTTCTGCCCCGCACCACTGGTGCGTAGGTGATTCCACCTCGAGAGGTAGAACCCGTGGTGCGGACCATTTGCCTGGAGAGGAAATGGCGTGGAACAAACGGGCGGTTCTGGTACAGTGTCACAAAAGTGCTGTTCTGCAGGTTTTCTCAGTTTTCTTGATGCGCCCAGCTTCGGACAATGCCCAACCAGAACCGATGCACCACTGGTGCGGATGGAAGAATCCAGGAAGGCCATTTTTTGCCAAAAGAACAGCGCCCATATTTGATTCACAAGAATAGCCGCGTTTTGGCGGATGTTCCGTTTCAATACACCAAACTGGTCCCAGAACCGCTGCATCCACAATTCGGCTGTTTGAAGGGGAACAACCACAGCTGGTGTGTCTGGTCCCCTCCTGCCTGTGTGACGCTTGACGACAAGAACACGTCACACGGAACCATCCAACGCAATGCAGACCACCCGTTGTACAGAAGAGATAATGTGTCCCGCAAGTGTGGGAATTGTTGAGAGGATTATAGAGGAAACATATCTATAATTAATATACTACTCTTGAAATAGTTCTCCCATAAGCTCAGTAGTACCTACAGCCCACATAAGGACGTGCCTTATTCTAATTCACCCGATTAAATGGATGAATAATCAAATAAGCCCAACTAACAAAGATGCAAATATATACGTATTAGATTATGGTTAAATATTTTGTTTCGGGAAATTTTGTGTTTTATTTTATTTCTAAATCATTGATTCAGTTTGTTTTCTTACATCTTTGTTTGGATATTTGCAAGGCCTCCATATAACAGACTTGTAATGTATCTGTATAATCAGAAGTTTAAAACGGGTTTTCCCTTATTGGTGCCGGAGGCCTCGGAGGAATGTGGAACTTTCGAGGTTTGCCACCTGTCGCTCCTTGCACGCTCGCCTCACCCGCCTCCTCCCCCTTGATCCTCCCTTTGTAGCTCCAGCTCGTCCCTGCTAGCACCACGCTGCCTCCCTCCAAATCCTTCTGTTCTTTGGCTTACGTTTCCGTTACCTTGACGCAATCCTATTGCTGTGTTGATTCGTTGTTGAACTAATACGTTGCGCTGACTTGTTGAGCTTTTCAAATCTTATCGACCGGCTGACATCCCTTGCACACCGAGAAATGGAGGAGGTGGGTCGTCGGGTTGTGGGCTCTCTCTACTTGTTTTTTAGGAGAGACACCAATCTTGCAAATTTAACCACGTCGTCCGTTCTCCATGTCGCAGGGTAGCAGTCATTCCGTCGTGCTGCACGTCTACGATCTCTCGCACGGCTTGGCGCGTCAGCTGTCGCAGACCCTTCTGGGGACGGCGATTGACGCGGTGTACCACACGGGCGTGGTGGCGTACGGCACCGAGTACTGGTTCGGCGCGGGCATCCAGCGCGGCGTGCCCGGCCGCACCGACTTCGGACCGCCCATGGAGGCAATCCGACTAGGGTGCACGGAGATCCCGCGCGACCTCTTCGAGCAGTTTCTGGCTGACGTCAGCGCCAACTACAGCCCGCATCGGTACAGCCTGCTGTCGCACAACTGCAACCACTTCAGCGACGAGGTCGCGCACTTCCTGCTGGGCCGCGGCATTCCCACGCGCATCCTCGACCTCCCCCGCCACGTCCTCAGCAGCCCGCAGGGCGCCCTGCTCGGTACGTCGCTGCTGCCTCGCGCTCGCCCGCGCCCCCTCCTGATTCGTCCTCTCTACGTCCCGTGATGTTGATGTCATGGCTGTGTGCGTCCACCGCAGTACTCACACCCTGCCTGCTGGCACCCCCCCATCCCCATCCCCATCCTTTTGTTCCTGCTTGCGCTGCTCCCTCCGCAGCGCCGCTGCTACAGCAGCTGGAGACCACTCTCAAGTACGGCGCCGCGCCTCGTGCGCCCTTCCCCGCGCCCTCCCCCATCAGCGCGTCCCCCAGCTACAGCATTCCCGCACAGCTGCTACACCCTCCACCCACCTCTGTTCCCGCACCCACTGCGCCAGACGCTGCCTTGAATTCAAGCAGCGCGTTGCCAGCAGTAGGTGCAGCCGCAGCAGGGGCAGCAGCAGTCGCCTGCAGGACCCAGTGTGATGGTGGCGCGGATGCGAGGCAGATGGGAGCAAAGGGGCAGTCAGAGGCATCAGATGCAGCAGAAAGAACGTCAACACCAGCAGCAGCACCAGCAACCTCAACAGCACCAGCAATAGCATCAGCATCAGCATCAGCATCAGCGTCCCCATCAACATCAGCAGCAGCAGCAACGCCCGCAGCAGCATCAGCAGCAGGCAGTGCAGAGGCGCGGGCAAAGGAGGCAGTGCATGCGGAGATCAGGCGTGAGTTTGCAGCGCTCATGGCAGCGGGCGGGCTGGCTGCCAGCGAGGCTGCTGCTGCTGCCGTCAGGCGAGTCGTGGCCCGCCATGGCCTCACTGCTGCTGCTGCTGCTCCCTAGCTGGTCACTCGTGTGGAAACGTGGGCTTGCGGTGGTCTTGTGCATACTGTTGAGTACGCATCCAGCATCTTTACCGTATGTTCTGTATGTGCCAAAGATCTGTGATTGGTGTTGATGGGTGGGTCAGGCTGGTCCTAATCAAAACAGACCTCAACAAAATGTTATCTTTAAAATTGATTAAATACCTAGGCCAGCTGCTTACTAAAAAAGCTGTGGGTTCCTGATTGGACATCGTAACAACTGGGTCCAACTGTCAATGGACAGGCTGAAACATTCATGTACACATCCATTGCCTGGTCGGTCGCGTTACTAACTCAGGCGAATCAATCTGGGACCTGGGCCTGAAGCGTCATCCTTTGAATGATTGGAGCATGGAGCTGCTGCCGACCCGCATCACGCGGCCCTTGCCAAACGACAGCGTCTTGCTGCTGCTGCTGTCCGCCCTGAAGGGCGTGGGGCGCGATTGGCTCTTGCTCCTCTGCAGCCCCTTGAAGCTGCGGTGCGAGGTCATGAGGCGCGGCCGCGCCAGGTACTCGTCGGGCGCCAGCGGCAGCCCCAGCGCGGAGCGCATGGCGGTGAGCAGCTCGGGGAAGCTCTCGAGGGCGTCAAACAGGTCGTCCAGCAGCAGCAGGTACACCTCGCACTCCGTCTTCGCCTGCTGGGGGTGAAGGGGGGGGGCAGGAGGGAGGGCACTTGAGGGATGTGGTGCGGGGCACGGGCAGCGAGGGAAGCACGGGAGCGAGTGCGGGTATGGCAGGGGGCGCTAGGGGTGGCAGGGGGTGGGGCACCTGGAAGGAGGCGGCCATGCAGAAGACGGACACGCGCTGGCTGCTCCACTCCTCCTCCCCCTGCCGCATCTCCAGTGCCGCCTTCAGCCCCTCCACGCCCGCCACATGCCCCTCGCCCACACTCTCCTTCTCGTACCCCACCGCCCCCCCCACCACTGCCGGCACCGATTCCTGCACTGCCAGCGACCGCCCCATCGCACGCCTCTGCATCACGCCCACCCCCGCCCCCATCCCCCCTACCCCTGCTCCTGCTAAGCCCAGCGGCCCTCCCAGCGGCCCTCCCACTGGCAGTGCTGCAATGGACCCGCTTCTTCTGCCCCCCGCCGGCCCCCCATGCTCCTGCAGTGCCCTCACCACCTCCTGGCCCGTGGGAGGAAGGCAGGCAGAGGGGAGAGAAAGCCAAGGGGAGGGAAGGACGGGAAGACATGCACATGCAGGCACAGGAACAGAGCGGTGTGTGACAGGGCAGGGGCACGCATGAGGGACAGGACATGCAGGTGGGCAAGTGACGAAAAGCGTCGTGCTTTTGAGTGAGCCCAGACGACCGAGACAAGGCACGACGTACAGCTGGCAGATGCACCTCCTCCACGCCGCCCTTCCCCTCCACCGCACACCCATCCACGTCAGCTTCACAGCCCGCCACCTCAGCAGCGGCGTGGGTGAGCGCGAGTGCGGGCGGGGGCCCGTCCTTGAGGCGAGTGACATCAACGGTGCCGGAGCGCACGATGTAGAGGTGCCTCGTGAAGTCGCCCTCGCTCACTATCACGTCCGCTGGCGCCACCCGCCGCACTATCACACACGGGAAGAGGTGCGCCAGGAACGTGTGGTTGTGCGGCAGCATGGGGCTGCCAGGGGGGGGCGGGGGGGGCAGGGAGGGATGGCCAAGGATGATCATCCTGCTGGAGGATGGTGGTCCGGTGGGGAGGAAAGGAGGTGCCAAGGGGCGTGGTGGAGTGAGTGAGTAGGATTGGTGAGGCGCGGCAGTTGCATGTGAGGGTCGCCAGTGATGGGGGAGGTGCAGGGCTCACCTGGAGGGCACGTGGCGCTGCCACCAGTGAGAGGCTCACCTGGAGGGCACGTGGCGCTGCCACCAGTGAGAGGCTCACCTGGAGGGCACGTGGCGCTGCCACCAGTGAGAGGCTCACCTGGAGGGCACGTGCCGCTGCCACCAGTGAGAGGCTCACCTGGAGGGCACGTGGCGCTGCCACCAGTGAGAGGCTCACCTGGAGGGCACGTGGCGCTGCCACCAGTGAGAGGCTCACCTGGAGGGCACGTGGCGCTGCCACCAGTGAGAGGCTCACCTGGAGGGCACGTGGCGCTGCCACCAGTGAGAGGCTCACCTGGAGGGCACGTGGCGCTGCCACCAGTGCACAAAGAGGTCCGCCCGCAGGTCGTCCTGCCAGCAGCACGACAGGCGGATGGGACCGGGGGAGAGGGAGGGCGTGAGCAATGGTGCGGAGTGGAAAGCGAGGGAAGAGGGTGAAGGGTGAAGAGCAGGGCAAGTGTGGGGCGGGCTGGACTCACAGAGAGTGCGTCGACGAGGTCCCCCTCATGGAAGCGCTGCGTCAACTCCGACTGCCACTTGCCTGTCAGACTCACCATCTGCACAGGAGGGGGGGGGTGTAGGGAAAAGGGGGAGCCTCACGGTGGCGAAATGATTTTGCAGGAAGAAGGGGAAAAGGAAGAAAGGGGAAGAGCACAGAGCACAGAGCACAGAGCGCAGGGCAGAGAGTACCATTCGGTTGGCGAGCCACTCGGGGATCTCCTCCTTCTCTATGAACCTGCCAGCAGCGACGAGAGGCGATGAAGGAATGAGGCGAGGCGATGAGGATGACGGCATGAGGACGCGGGGATGAGATTCGTGAGGTGCTAGAAGGTTGAAAAAGGTGGTTCAGCTGATGGTTGAAGGAGCAAGCAGTGGGGAAGGGCAGAGCAGCAGGGGAGAGGGGAGGGCAGTGGCGGTGGTGGTGGCAATGGCACCTGTGCAGAGTGTTGCAGCGCTGGCGCACGGACTCGCGGCGAGCACGGCTGGAGTAGATGAGGGAGGAGATCTGCCCGATGGCGTAGCCCAGCAGGATGGACGTCAGCAGGATGTATGCCGTGGCAAAGAGGCGCTCTGCCAGTGTGTCCACTGGGTGTATGTCCCCGTACCCCACCTGGTGGATGGGGCATGCACGGGGAGGGGAGGGGGAGGGGAGGGGGAGTGGATAGGGGCATGTACCCCGTTGTCAAGAGGCGCTCTGCTAGCGTGTCCATGGGGTGGATGTCCCCGTACCCCACCTGGTGGGGGGGTGGTGATGAAAGGCAGAGGAGGGGGGAGGAGGGATGATGGAACAGACAAGAACGAGAGGGTATAATGCAGAGAGCACAGCGCGCACATGCATGATGACAGGAGGTCACCAAGGGAGGTGGGAGGGAGGCAGGCAAGGAGTGGTAATGGGAGGAGGTGGAGTGGGTGTGGGGGATGTGGGGGGTGTGGGAGGAATTGAGGAATGAGGTGAGTGGGACGTGTGGCTTGCAGGCGAGCTCGGTAGGCAGGGGGGTTTAAAGACGAGGTGCAGAGAGAAGAGGGCAGCAGCAGGCGGGAAGAGGCAGAAGAAGAGGAGGAGAGGGGCTTGGAGGACAGGTGGGGGACGCACAGAGGCGAAGGTGACCATGGCCCAGTAGTAGGCAGCGGCGTACACTACTCCGTGCGGTGCACTCTCTAGCGTCTCCTGGCTGCCCCCGTTGCTCCAGTTGAACGCTGCTAGCCACGACTCGGGCGCCGTCTCGAGGCGACCGATGAGCGCAAAGGCACACGCGCCCACGTGGCACACCATGCAGATCTGCCACGCGCGCAGAGGGTGGAAGAGGGTGGATCGTAGGGGGAAGAGAATGGATTTGGGGGGAGAAGGGGCGGAGGGAGGGGAGATGAGACGGAGAGGGGCACGGCAGCGAGGCCAGGGGTGTGGGGGCATGGAAGGTGTGGGTGATGTGAGGGATGAGATGGTGATGGATGAGATGGTGCTCCCGTGGACAGTGGTATGCCCATCCCTCCCACCGCCCACCTGCAGCACGAGAATGGTCATTTCCATGTACAGCCCCGCCAGAGCCGACTGCCTCAGCTGCTGCGTCGCCTGCCCCAACCGCCTCAGCCGCAGCAGCTTCAGCAGCCGCAACGCCTGGCTGGCGAAGAGGGGGGAGAAGGGGGCGAGTGGGGGGAGGGGAAGGGGAAGGAAGCGTAAAAGGAGTAGGAAGAGGGAAATAGGGAGGGAGGACGAGTAGGAGGTGAGTGGGCGGGAGGGACGAGCAGAGCATGGGGCATGCAGAAGGAGAGGGAAGGCGGTGTGAAAAGAGAGGTACGACATTCAAAGGGGCGGGGGAAAGGGAAGACGGGAGGGGACGAGAGGGGAGGGGAGGGGGCAGAGGGTGGGGAAGGGGAGGGGGGAGAGGGGGAAACGGAGGGAGGGGAGCGAGGGTGGGATGAGGGAGGGGAGGGGCGGGGCACTGACGGCGGAGAGCCAGAAGCCGACGCTGGACTGGGCGAGGGCGGAGATGATGAGGTCGATGGGCAGCGAGGAGAGCACGTCCACCACGAACCACGTGCGCAGGTAGTGCCACACTATGCGCCGCTGTTAGGGGGGGCAGGGGGATAGGGGCGCAGAGGAGGGGGCAAGGGGATGGGGAGACACAGGGTCGATGGGCAGCGATGAGAGCACGTCCACCACGAACCACGTGCGCAGGTAGTGCCACACTATGCGCCGCTGTTAGGGGGGGCAGGGGGATAGGGGCGCAGAGGAGGGGGCAAGGGGATGGGGAGACACAGGGTCGATGGGCAGCGATGAGAGCACGTCCACCACGAACCACGTGCGCAGGTAGTGCCACACTATGCGCCTCTGCCATGCCGTGCCATGCCGTGCCATGCCATGCCCCCCACGAGAGGGGGGGAGGAGGGAATGCAAGGGGGGGGGAGTGGAAGAAGGAGGTGGACCGTGGGGATAGGGAAGCACCGGGTGGAAGGGATGTGCATGGATGATGCAGCGCAGCTGGTGGGAGATGATGGGGTGAGGCGGTATGAGGCGGTATGAGGCGGTATGAGGCGGTATGAGGCGGTATGAGGCGGTATGAGGCGGTATGAGGTGGTATGAGGTGGTACGTGGTGGTATTAGGTGACAGGGCGGGCGTGGCTGACCTGGTCCATGACGATCTGCTGAGGCAGCAGCATCTTCACCCCGCCCTCCCCCATCACGTGCTTCTCCCTCGTCAGGTACCTGCTCGCCCCCACCCACCGTTCCACCGCCCAGGGGAGGCGAGGGCGACGGGAGGGCGAGGGGAGGGCAACGAGACGGCGAGGGGAGGGCAAGGAGAGGGCAAGGGGAGGGCGAGGGGAGGGCAAGGGGAGGGCGGAAGGAGGGTGCGAATGGCATAAACGGGATGGGAGTAAACGGGTCGATGTGGGGGGGCTGGAGGGGGAGGGAGGTATTGGGTAGGAGAGTCGTGAAGTGCGGCAGGCAGTGACGGGGTGCAAGGACGCACCAGCCTGCTCTCACCCTCAACTGCTATCCACGCCCCCATTTGTTCTTCACGCCTCCGCCCCCTTCCCACGCCCATAGCATGCCTCATAAGAACCCCCGCCACTTGGTGCTCAACCCCAATGGCCCACCGGGTATGCCCCCCCCCCCCCCCCCCATGGCGCGCGTGGTGTGGTGTGGGGGTGACGCACCCGGTTTTGAAGCCGAGGAGCACGTCAGCGAGGTAGACGAGGGAGAGGCAGGAGTCGAGGATGAGCCACGCGCCCGTGGCCCTGAGGTCGAACGCCACCATGTACAGCACCTCCCACTGCCATGCATGGCGCCACACACGCATGGCACATGGGCATGGGCATGGGCATGGGCATGGGCATGGGCATGGGCATGGGCATGGGCATGGGCATGCAGTGGGTTGGCGTGGCGGGCGAAGGAGGCTGGTTTGGCACACAAGCACGCCATGTGGGAGAGCCGTGTGTTGGCCGCACAGGGGGGCGCAGCGCAGGAGGAGCCTACAGGCAATGCATGGCGTGCAAGAGGAGAGGCAGCAGCGGAAGGGGTTGACTCACGAGGTTGTACGCAATGCACGCCCCCACAATGAGGTTCACGTCGCGCCGGAAGCGCGAGTAGGGGTGCACGATGGGGATGCGCACGCGCATTGCCGCCGCCAGCGCCGCCTTGAACGCCACCACGCACGGCCCTCCCCGCCACCACCGCCGCGCGCCCATCTGCTCCGCGTTGGGCGGCTCGCTCTCGCTGGAGTGCCCTGGTCTGAGCTGCATGGGCACGTTCATGTACTCCTCGAGCGCCACCCGCGTCGCCCCCTCCTTCCCCCCCGTCCTGTGCGTGCTTCCGCCGCTGTCGCTGCTGCTGCCGCTGCTGCTGCCGTCGTCCCCACCGCCCGGCGGGAACACGCCAAACGAGGCGCTTTTCATCACCCATTGGAAGGGCGAGCGCGCCTTGAGTGGCGCGGCCGCGGGGGGCGCGTCGTCCGCGAAGGAGAGCGCGACGTCGTCGCCCGGGTCGTCGTCGCGCAGCTCCTTGGCGGACCGCCACAGCCGCGCGCGCAACCGCCGCTGCCCGAACAGCGGCTTGCCGCCCGGCAGCGGTTCCCCTTCCGCCCCTCCCCTTGTCCCCCCCACCCCGCTACTGCTCGTGCCATCCCCGTCAGGCCGCTCCCCGCCGTCTGGCACGGGCAGATGGAGCACGTCAAAGGGCGACACGGGGAGGGCCGACGCGGGGAGGGGCGACACGGGGAGCACGTCGAGCGACGACGGCGACGAGCAGCTGCCGGAGGTGTCGAGGCGCGGCTCGCTCGAGTGGTCCAAGGCGTCGCCGCGCCCCTCCATCATGCGCTGGTTCAGCGACCCGCCTTCCGCGCGCCGCTCCTCTGGCGAGCCGAGGCGCTCCGTTTGGAAGTCGAGCCGCGACTGGCGGCGCTGTGCCGCGTGGGTGGCGGTGGCCGCATCGTGGTCCGCGTTGCGGTGCGACGCCGATTTGCGCCACGGGCGATCGCTGCGGGTGGGGGCGCGATTGGCGTGCTCGTTAGAGTGGGAGTGAGAGTGAGGGTAAGAGTGAGAGTTAGAGTGAGAGTGAGAGTGAGGGTAAGAGTGAGAGTTAGAGTGCGAGTGAGAGTGAGACGCCGCGTCGATCATCATCGACGCAGACACTGACGTCACCATCGCTGCGCGCCACTGCTGGGACCCACAGCTGAGACGGCCCGCATAAATGATTGAAGAGTGGAATCCTCAATGCAACCCTAACGGCGATTACCGTCGTGCTTCAGCTCTAACTCATCGCCTGCCCGAAGATTAGGCATTACGCGAGCAGTGCACCGTAAGCTAAATAGCTCCACCGTTTACGAGATTCAGTGGTATGAATAAACCAGAACGTAATGACAGGCACGCGAGAATAGCATTAGACCGCCGAGGAGTGTGTTGGACAGAATGGCAACTGAAGGCCGGCGGGCATAACCTCGCCAGTATGTGAGCAGGGAGGGAAGCGAGCGAATCTCTCTGACGACGAGCCGCCGCCTCACCCTCGATACTTCCTCAAACCAGGCCAAACTCGCAATTTTGATAAATAACTCAACTTTATACAGCACTAATCCCACACTAGCTAGAATGTATGGCTTGCTGTGAGAAACAGCTTCTGGCATGTGCCACTTTGTCAGAATCTCGAATCCCTATTTGCGGTTCGACTTGCCTTGATGAGAGGATGTGTTCATCCTATTGCGCGTGCTGAGGGCCCTGCGGTACTGCACCAGCTGCTCCTGCTCTGTTAGCGGCAAGCCCAGGCTCAAGCGTAACGCTGTTAGCAGCTCCGGGAAGCTCTCAAGCGTGACAAAGAGATCGTCGATTAGCAGCAGCAGCAGCTCACACTCCGTCTTTGCCTGCTCACATGCACAGCCCATCCCAACCACCAGGGCAAAAACCCACTTGAGAAAATGGCCGAACAAAAATGCAGGTGTAAAGGCTATGTAAGTAACACCCAAGTGGCGTGAGAAAACAACAAAACCAGGAGCATACCTGGAAGGTTCCTTCCATGAAGAGGAAGGGGACTCGTTGCTCCATCCACGATGGTTCGCCTGTTTGCAGCTCGAGCACCTCTGAGAGCCCGTCCAGCCCGATCACATGGCCCACGCCCACCGTCCTGCTCTCAAACGCTGCCTGCCCCAGCAGGTGGCTCTCATGCCGCACCGACCCATAGCTCTCATGCGATGCCGCTGCGCTGTGCACCCGCGGCACAGTGCCACTCGCACCCCTGGGCCCTGCCCCCTCCCCACACCCCTCCCCTGCGCCCTCCCGCAGCGGCTGAATGCTGTCGCCAGGCAACGGGGACGCATCCCCTGACCCGCGTGAGTCGCTGGGCATGAGGCTGCTGCTCTGAATGGTGCAGAGCGTTGAATCGTACACACGCGTGCGCCGCACACACGGTGAGCACCCAACCATGGCAGGGCTGTCGCCATGGTCGCCATGATCGCCGTGGCGCGGGTCGCATGCATGCGAGTGAGCAGGCGAGTCAGAAACACCATACACGTCGCCTGCGTCATGTATGCCGTTGCTGCTGTTCTTCCCATGCGAGGCTGCCATGTGCGTGGGTGTGGGCACAGGGCTGCCATGAGAGGAGCGGCTGGCCTGGCGCTGCAGCGAGCGCACCTGGCAGCGCCTCATGCTCACCGCCCGCGCCAGCTTCATGCCCTCACTGCCCAGCTGGCGAGCGGGAGGGGAAGGGGGCCAAGGGGGGGGGTGGGGAAAGGGAGGACGACCACGGGGAGAGCAACAACGGTCATTGCTACAAATATCAGAAGGCAAGGCGTCAGGAGGTTCCAAGAACACAGGAGCCATGCGGAGCGGGCAGTTAGAGAAACAAGTAAAGAGCAGCAGCACCCTGCCGCCTTGCTCTGGCATCCCCAGCCCATCCTTGCCTGCACCCTGCCCTTCCCTGCCCTGCTAACAACCTCCTCCCCCAGCTTACTATGGGTTTGCCTGGCAACGTGGCAGCGGTCTCGACAAGAGTGTCCATCCCCTGCAAGGCCCACGACATCTCGAGTGTGCCCGAGCGCACCACGTACAGGTGGCGGCTCACCTCGCCCTCCCTCACAACCACGTCCCCTGCTGCCACTGCGCGCGGCACCAGCACGCGCTGTAGAGTCGCCACACACTGCTGCTCGTGCGGGAAGAAGGGACTGCGGGGGCAGGGGGGAGGGGGGAGGAGGGAGGGGGGAGGGCGGTGGGATGTGAGTGGAGAAGGGGGAAGGAATGGGAGCGAAGCGAACGGAGAGCAGAGGGTGATAAGTGGAAGGCTGGGAGGTGGTGAGAAGGGGGAGGTGACAAGGCATGGTGGCAGGGGGGAGAAACGATGCAGGAGGAGCGAGTGGCACGGCAGCAATGGAGGGAGGGGTGGTGGCGACCTGGGAGGAACGTGTTGCGTCCACCAGTGCACAAAGAGGTCCGTGCGTAGATCGTCCTGCGCTCATGCACCCATGCACACACAAGGGCAGGGGTGGAGGGGGTCCGGGGTAAGAGGCACAGTGGAGGAGGAGAGTGAGCGAGGGAGAGGGGATCAAGGCGCAAAGCAAGAGGAGCCAGCAGATAAAGTGATTGTAAATTTTTATGTTGGGTCGAAAAAAGACGGTGGGAAGCAGATATGATATGACTCACAGTGAGGCTCTGTATGACTCACAGTGAGGCTCTGCATGACTCACAGTGAGGCTCTGCATGACTCACAGTGAGGCTCTGCATGACTCACAGTGAGGCTCTGCATGACTCACAGTGAGGCTCTGCATGACTCACAGTGAGGCTCTGCATGACTCACAGTGAGGCTCTGCATGACTCACAGTGAGGCTCTGCATGACTCACAGTGAGGCTCTGCATGACTCACAGTGAGGCTCTGCATGACTCACAGTGAGGCTCTGCATGACTCACAGTGAGGCTCTGCATGACTCAAAGTGAGGCTGCCTCAGTGGCTGCATGACTCACAGTGAGGCTCTGCATGACTCACAGTGAGGCTCTGCATGACTCACAGTGAGGCTCTGCATGACTCACAGTGAGGCTCTGCATGACTCACAGTGAGGCTCTGCATGACTCACAGTGAGGCTCTGCATGACTCACCGTGAGGCTCTGCATGACTCACAGTGAGGCTCTGCATGACTCACAGTGAGGCTCTGCATGACTCACAGTGAGGCTCTGCATGACTCACCGTGAGGCTCTGCATGACTCACAGTGAGGCTCTGCATGACTCACAGTGAGGCTCTGCATGACTCACAGTGAGGCTCTGCATGACTCAAAGTGAGGCTCTGCATGACTCACAGTGAGGCTCTGCATGACTCACAGTGAGGCTCTGCATGACTCACAGTGAGGCTCTGCATGACTCACAGTGAGGCTCTGCATGACTCACAGTGAGGCTCTGCATGACTCACAGTGAGGCTCTCCATGACTCACAGTGAGGCTCTGCATGACTCACCGTGAGGCTCTGCATGACTCACAGTGAGGCTCTGCATGACTCACAGTGAGGCTCTGCATGACTCACAGTGAGGCTCTGCATGACTCACCGTGAGGCTCTGCATGACTCACAGTGAGGCTCTGCATGACTCACAGTGAGGCTCTGCATGACTCACAGTGAGGCTCTGCATGACTCACAGTGAGGCTCTGCATGACTCACAGTGAGGCTCTGCATGACTCACAGTGAGGCTCTGCATGACTCACCGTGAGGCTCTGCATGACTCACAGTGAGGCTCTGCATGACTCACAGTGAGGCTCTGCATGACTCACAGTGAGGCTCTGCATGACTCACAGTGAGGCTCTGCATGACTCACAGTGAGGCTCTGCATGACTCACAGTGAGGCTCTGCATGACTCACAGTGAGGCTCTGCATGACTCACAGTGAGGCTCTGCATGACTCACAGTGAGGCTCTGCATGACTCACCGTGAGGCTCTGCATGACTCACCGTGAGGCTCTGCATGACTCACAGTGAGGCTCTGCATGACTCACCGTGAGGCTCTGCATGACTCACAGTGAGGCTCTGCATGACTCACCGTGAGGCTCTGCATGACTCACCGTGAGGCTCTGCATGACTCACAGTGAGGCTCTGCATGACTCACCGTGAGGCTCTGCATGACTCACAGTGAGGCTCTGCATGACTCACAGTGAGGCTCTGCATGACTCACAGTGAGGCTCTGCATGACTCACCGTGAGGCTCTGCATGACTCACAGTGAGGCTCTGCATGACTCACCGTGAGGCTCTGCATGACTCACCGTGAGGCTCTGCATGACTCACAGTGAGGCTCTGCATGACTCACCGTGAGGCTCTGCATGACTCACAGTGAGGCTCTGCATGACTCACCGTGAGGCTCTGCATGACTCACAGTGAGGCTCTGCATGACTCACAGTGAGGCTCTGCATGACTCACAGTGAGGCTCTGCATGACTCACAGTGAGGCTCTGCATGACTCACCGTGAGGCTCTGCATGACTCACCGTGAGGCTCTGCATGACTCACCGTGAGGCTCTGCATGACTCACAGTGAGGCTCTGCATGACTCACAGTGAGGCTCTGCATGACTCACAGTGAGGCTCTGCATGACTCACAGTGAGGCTCTGCATGACTCACAGTGAGGCTCTGCATGACTCACAGTGAGGCTCTGCATGACTCACAGTGAGGCTCTGCATGACTCACAGTGAGGCTCTGCATGACTCACCGTGAGGCTCTGCATGACTCACAGTGAGGCTCTGCATGACTCACAGTGAGGCTCTGCATGACTCACAGTGAGGCTCTGCATGACTCACAGTGAGGCTCTGCATGACTCACAGTGAGGCTCTGCATGACTCACAGTGAGGCTCTGCATGACTCACAGTGAGGCTCTGCATGACTCACAGTGAGGCTCTGCATGACTCACAGTGAGGCTCTGCATGACTCACAGTGAGGCTCTGCATGACTCACCGTGAGGCTCTGCATGACTCACCGTGAGGCTCTGCATGACTCACAGTGAGGCTCTGCATGACTCACAGTGAGGCTCTGCATGACTCACCGTGAGGCTCTGCATGACTCACAGTGAGGCTCTGCATGACTCACAGTGAGGCTCTGCATGACTCACAGTGAGGCTCTGCATGACTCACAGTGAGGCTCTGCATGACTCACAGTGAGGCTCTGCATGACTCACAGTGAGGCTCTGCATGACTCACAGTGAGGCTCTGCATGACTCACAGTGAGGCTCTGCATGACTCACAGTGAGGCTCTGCATGACTCACAGTGAGGCTCTGCATGACTCACCGTGAGGCTCTGCATGACTCACCGTGAGGCTCTGCATGACTCACCGTGAGGCTCTGCATGACTCACAGTGAGGCTCTGCATGACTCACCGTGAGGCTCTGCATGACTCACAGTGAGGCTCTGCATGACTCACAGTGAGGCTCTGCATGACTCACCGTGAGGCTCTGCATGACTCACAGTGAGGCTCTGCATGACTCACAGTGAGGCTCTGCATGACTCACAGTGAGGCTCTGCATGACTCACAGTGAGGCTCTGCATGACTCACAGTGAGGCTCTGCATGACTCACAGTGAGGCTCTGCATGACTCACCGTGAGGCTCTGCATGACTCACAGTGAGGCTCTGCATGACTCACCGTGAGGCTCTGCATGACTCGAGCTCCTCAAACTTGCTGTTCACCGACGCCTGCCACTGCCGCATCAGATACGCCATCTGGCATGGGGAGGAGCCATGGCAACGGGTGGCAGCGGCACGGCACAGAGATGGAGCAGCGTTCGGGCAAGTGCCGTGCAGTGGAGAGAGGCAGTAAGCAGCAGGAGATATTCTAGCCAGCAGAAGCAGGGCTAGGGGCAAGGAGCAAGCAACAGTCTTTCTGTAAAACTTGTGACAGAGGCAGTGGGAGTGAGGGGCGGGGGGCGGAGGGCAGGCGAGCGCACCATGCGGTTGGCGAGCCACTCTGGCAGGCGCTCCCTCTCGATGAACCTGCACAGCACACATGCATGCACGCACCCAGGGGGAAGCACGGATGCATGGCACACGGAACACAGGGGGGCGAGGGCGGAGTGAGGTGGGTGAAGTGGGAGAGCAGTGGAGAGGCATCGGGGAGCAACAATGGGGATAGGAAGGATGGGAGGTGAGCAGCACCTGTGCAGGGTGAGCATGCGTTGGCGCATGGATTTGCGCTGCATGCGGCGGGCGTAGACCATGGAGGAGAGCTCGCCAATGGTGTAGCCCAGCATGATGGCCGTGAGCAGTATGTACACCGTGGCAAACAGGCGCTCTGCTAACGTGTCCATGGGGTGGATGTCTCCGTACCCCACCTGGTGGGTGGCGTGGGGTGCACGGGGAAGGGTAGCGGAATGCGGAGGTAAGATAAGGGGGAAGGGGATGCAGAGGGATGTGGTGTCCAGTGCATGGAAGCAGCACAGAAGCTAAGCTGGGAGTGCGTGAGGATGTGGTGTCCAGTGAGGAGCGCTGAGATGGGTTGGCGTCACAGTACTGCACGGAAGGATACTGCAGGTACTGTCGGGACGCACCCCAGCAAATGTGACCATGGACCAATAAATAGCCGCGCCAGTGGGTGCTGACTCCAGCGTCTGCGCCACGCCATCCTGGCTCCAATAGGTGACCGCCAGCCATGTTTCGCTCGGCAGCTCCAGCCGGCCAATCAGCACGAAGATGCAGGCGCCTATGTGGCAGAGCATGCAGATCTGAGGAGCAGGATGGGGAGGCGAGGCACAGAGAGAGGGCAGCAGAGGAGAGCAAGTGAGCCTGGTGGGGTACGTGATGCCTCCCTGCCACCCAAAAAGCCGCTCGTTCTTCTTTCCTCACTCGAAATCCAGTTGTGTTTTACAAATATGAGAGAGGTAGTGTAGTGGCGGAGCATGAGCAGGAGCAGGAGCAGGAGCAGGAGCAGGAGCAGGAGCAGGAGCAGGAGCAGGAGCAGGAGCAGGAGCAGGAGCAGGATGAGGACGAGGAGGAGGAGCAGGAGGGGGCAGAAGGCACCTGGAAGAGCAGGATGAGGAGGAGGAGCAGGAGGGGGCAGAAGGCACCTGGAAGAGGAGGATGGCGAAGTCCATGTAGTTGGTGTCGGAGGAGGCGCTCCTCAGCTGCTTCGCTGCCACTCCCAGCCGGTGCACTCGGAACAGCTTCAGCAGCCGGAACGCCTGTTGCATGCACGCACATGCATGCATGCACACACACACACACACACACACACACACACACACACACACACACACACACACACACACAGCAGCAGCACACATGCATGTAGGGGGCAGTCTGGTGAACGGCAGCTACGAGCTGTGCGCGAATGCACATGGGCATGCATACACATGGGCATGCATACACATGGGCATGCATACACATGGGCATGCATACACATGGGCATGCATACACATGGGCATGCATACACATGGGCATGCATACACATGGGCATGCATACACATGGGCATGCATACACATGGGCATGCATACACATGCACACAGCAGATGCATGGGTGGGGGCGCATGCGGGCTGTTGGCAGGCAGGGGGGCAGGCACGGCAGCATGCATGTGCAGCAGCGGCAGGGGGGACGCACGGCAGAGATCCAGAAGCCAGCGGGGGAGTCGGAGGCGAGGGAGGTGAGGAGGTCGAAGGGCAGCGAGGAGAGCAGGTCCAAGGCGAACCACGTGCGCAGGTAGTGCCACACCACGAGGGGGGACGTGGAGGTGGGACTGGATTGAGAGAGGGAGAGTGGGGGAGGGTGGGAGGGGAAGAGCAGGGAGGGGAAGACGATGGTAGGAGCGTGGAGGGAAGAGGGGGGGGGTGGAGAAACGGGAGAAGCAGCACCGGGAGGGTCAGCGAAATCACTACGAGGAGACGCATGAGCAAGTGAGGGCGGCCAACAGTGCAAGATGCCCATTGCCCAGAGAGTTAATGCTGGGCTGGCATGTGGTGAAAGGGCCGAGTGCGAGAGCCACCTGGTGCGTACCTGATCCATGACGATCTGCTGCGGCTTGAGCACCTTCATGCCGTCGTCCATCACCACGTGCTTCTCCTTCGTCACGTACCTGCCAATAGCACACGCCACGTGGCACGCGGTGACGTGGCACCAAGGCATAACATCCTACGTCAGCACGACGAATGTGCGCAGGACAATTGGTGGCGTGGCGGAACACAGCAGGCGACACAGAGAAGAAACCAGCAGCCTCGTGGCAAGAAAGGCAAAGGTGAGAGGGGAAGTGCACTTGGACACCCCCCTCTCTCTCTCACCCGGTTTTGAAGCCGAGGAAGATGTCAGCGAGGAAGATGGCGGAGAGGCACGCGTCCACGATCTGCCACGCGCCCTGCGCGCGCAGGCTGAACGCCACCTGGTAGAACACCTCCCACTGCGCGCCCCCATGCACGGGGAGGGAGAAAATGGGGGGAAGGGGAGGGGGAGGGAGGGGGGCACTGTTTCAGGAAGGAAGGAGTGGGAGAGGGATGGAGATGGAAAAGACGAGAGCAGCACTGACACCCACGTCACAACCCATCTCACACGGAATTTGTCACGCTTTGCCCACGATAAACAGTGCAGAGGAGCAGTGTGGGGCGGGCGGGGGGGGACTGACGACGTTGTAAATGATGCAGAGGGCGATGATGAGGTTGACGTTGCGGCGGAAGCGCGAGAAGGGGTGTATCACGGGGATGCGCACCCGCCGCATCACGTGCAGCACCCGCCGGAACACCTGCACCTGCACGTTGAACGGCCGAGCCTGCGCCGCCTCGCGCTCGCTCGGCGGGTCGGAAGGGACGCCGACCGCATGCGCCGCCATGGGCTGCGCGAGATACCCCTTGAACGTGAACCCCCGCGGCATCGCCTCCTGCGCCGGCTTCCCCCGCCAGAAATCCTCCCCCCACTTGAGCTTTCCCCCCGCGCGCATGCTGCGTGCGCCATGGTGGCCTTGCCGCTTCGAGTACGCGGGAACTAATCGGTCGGAGCGGCTCGACCGGAGATCGTCGACGTCGTCCTCCGATCCCTCCGAATCCACCCGCAATCTCAATTCCCGCCGTCGCCGCGCGGCTTCCGCATTAGACGGCTCCGCGTCAACAGAATCACATGCTCTGTCGGTCGCGTTTGGGCCTAGGGAATCCCACTGCCGCTGTAGCTCTCGGGGCTCCTCCTCACGCAGCATCGGCGACTGCAGATTCCTTTGGTTCGGCTGCGACGCTGTCGCCGACGGCTCTTGCGATCTATCGTGCAATGCAGGCGATGTTCGCGATGGCTGGACAACTCCTGGAACGTCTGACTTGGCGGCGTTTGCACGCGACACGCCCCGCGAAGCACTCACGGGGTCCGAAACGTCATCGAGACGTGCGGGCTGCACGCGTTGACCGCCTTCGAGGGGATCTCGCGTGGCTGACGACGGCGCTAACGGCCGGCTGCTGTCCAACTGACCGTGGCCGTCTGACAAAGGCATGTCGTCGTCCGTCAGGCAGCGAGACAGCTTCCTCAACGGACTGGAAAGGTCGGTTACCGTCATGATGTACGGCTCGCTTGTTGCTTCGTACACACATCTATCTGATCTCACGAATAACCGCTGATGGCAATGTGGAGTGGGCTTCGGCGGAACTCAAAAGTTGTGTGACAGCAGCAGATACTTTTTTCTGGAGCAGCATTCTTGTGTTGCTGTTTGTTGTCGTGAGCTTGAAAACGCGCAAGGTACACGATTGCTGTCCTGTCCTTGAGCCTGTCCCTGTGGGACGCCGATGCCAAGCCATGACAGCATTCATGTACGGGTTGGCCGTGCAATTGTCAAAACTTTGGCCCCAAATTTGTAAACCAATCAGACAGGCCCGTTTTTCATCGACTGCAAAGCACTTGTTTTACTTGAGACCCTGGCTTCATGCCAGGGCTGCTTTGCTTGGATGCGATGCGATGGCTGGAGGAGAAAGGAAATCTCAAGGTTGTCACCACAGACAGAAAGCACAGAGTGGTGCCCCTTCTATTTACAGGTATTGATAATGTCAATGGGTAAGGCTGGATACTTGCAATATATATACTTTTATATAGATTTGAAGGTCCAACATAATCCTCATGCATTAGCATGCCTCCTGATCCATGAATGTTGCAGAACCTCTACCAGCGTAATCCGACCGTAGGGGTCCTTATTGAGCATGCTACCAATCATATCTATACACTCTGGAGTGACTTTTCTCCAGCACGCCAGGCTGAAATCCACCCCGTGTGTCAACACTGCTTCCGCTACCTGTTGCTTAGTCGGGGCCCGATAAGGAGACACACCGGCTATGCAGAAATACAGCAGAGCTCCAAGTCCCCAGATGTCAGCTTCAGGCCCGTATTGCCCCTTCCACACTTCAGGGGCGATGTATTGCGTTGTTCCCGCAAACTCAGTCAACGAATCTCCGTCCTCAAAGAAAGTGGCGACACCGAAGTCGCTGAGTTTAACGTGAGGCTCGTCGGAGTCGTCTACGAGCAGCACATTCTTTGGCTTGATGTCGCGATGCACGATCCCATGGCGGTGGCAGTGCAGCACCGCTGTCGCCAGCGCGTGGCAAACCCGGGCAGCGCTGCGTTCGCTCAGCGTGCCGCGCTGGGTGACTCGGCGGAAGAGATCGCCCCCGTGGCAGAGCTCCATGACGAGGTGCACGCGCTTGCCGTCCTCCACGGCGTCGTGCAGACTGATGATGCTGGGATGGCCCCTCACCTCCCACAGACACGCCACCTCCGTGCGGATGGCCTCAGCGTCCTCGTACGTCTGTCGCACATCAGAGGCAAAACACAGGAGTGAGGATATGCATACCATAAGTTCAACGATATGGTGTTGGAAGAATGGCTCACATCACAATAACGAGAACCAGGGAAAAGGGAGAGAGGCGAAGAAAGATGCATGAAGGATGTAGTACCGTGATCTGTTGCTTGCGGATGGTCTTGCAGGCCAGCAGCCGCCCAGAGTCGGCTTCAACGCACGGCCGCACGGCGCCATACTCGCCCGTGCCCAGCTGCTCCTTGTGCACGCAGTACCGCAGCGCGATATCCTCGTACCGCTGCCGCAGCACAAACCGAGACGGTCCGAACCCCACGCTGTCGGACCGCGCCAGGCTGCTGCTGCTGCTGCGACTCAATGTGCTGCCGCTGCGGCTCATACTACTGCTCCCGAAGCTACTCCCGCAGCTACTTGTAGCGGCGCTCCCTGCACTTATGTTGTTGGCCTTGAAACTGCCGCTGCGTTGACGGGGATCCGCGCCAACGAGGCTTCCTAAAGTCGCACGACGGCGGGTTATCGCCGCATGCCACGCCGCGGCAGCTTTCGTGGCACCGTCACCCTCTGCTACTACTTTCGCCGGTTGAAAGCCTTCCGTCACGGTATGCCGACCAGAGATCAGCCTCTGTTCAGAGTCGGTCGACGTCGGACCCTCTGTAGCCGTCGGAGCAGCTACACTACTTCTTTCGGATAAATGGCCGCCTGATTCCAATTCACCGCTGCTCGGGAATCTTTCGCAACAATCTCTAGCGGCGGATACGGGCCTCTCATCCTTACTCCCACGGTTACCCCTGTGGCGGAAGATGGACGGGAAAGATATTCCTAGTGAGCAGCTGGTTCGTTGAAAACGCCGATCGGAGTCACAGCTCACACCGTCGGTTCCAGTTCCGTGAGGATCGCCTTCGTTCCGCGACCGGCCACGCACGCTGCGACCCATGCCTCTGACCATGATGATGCCTGTAAGTGTTCTCCTGTATTGCAACACGACGGACTAACTACTAGTACCTCAAACGGTATGTCTTGTAAACAAAACCTTGAAAGACAGTGCTTGCTTCATTTGCCAAGAAAGTGAGGGAGGATGGTGCTTTCTTGGCTGACGGAATGATGCAAGTTCCCGCACGAGCGGAGTGCTGGACATCCGAGCCGACGGGCGTGTCGTAAGCAGGCCTTCCCCTTTGACCCTTGAAGGGCCCGTCGAGGGAGGTGCTGCTGCAAGAATGTTGCCACAGTGGCAAGCTTTGCCTGTTTCCCCATAGCCCATGTGACACAGTGGAAGTGCAGTGTTGAGGCATTTGTTGGTTTGTGCGTCGGGGTTCCGTGCTCGTTTGCCTTGCTTCTCGTCATCGATGCACCGTTACGAAATTGGCCGTCATATGCGCGAAGCGTCCATATTCCAGGAGCACGGAGAGTTGAACGAGCAGTGACGTGCTCCTATCCCCACTCAACCGCTCGTAGCATGCGCGAACATATTTTGAACCGAACGTTAAACTACCCAACCTTACTAGCCGAACCGAGCACATCAAACCACACAACCACTGTCCTGTTCTCGCTTGATGGACCTACCGAACCTTGGATATCATCGTGAACCTGCGCCACAAACCAGATTGACTCGCATCCACATCATCACCAAACACCCTGTCCCCGTAAGATATGCAGCTGGTCAATAATTCTGGAAGCGGCGGTGTAGCCCGTGGTTGGAAGGAAATCTCGGAGCTGGCTATGCTGAGCAAGATTTCCACGGCCAGCCGCTGTGCAGGGGTCTGCTGGACTGGAAGCGGGGGGGTGGGGGGGACCGTGGGGTGGGTGGTTTGGGAAGGAACGGGGGGGAAGGGTGGTGATTGGATGGTGCTGCAGTTGCTGCGTGGCGGTCAGGGTGTTCTACGATACATACCACGCAAATCTGTATCTAATTTTACATCTACTCTGCAAAAAACGGGTTGCAACGATTATACTTCGCGCATTTCAGGGTTCGTATTTTTTTGTGGGCTGCTTTCCGGCGCTCGGCCTGTAGTTTCTGGCGAAGTCTGTGAAAATTGGTGAAGTTCATGGAGATGGACGAAATACCGGCAATTTATTTTTTGAAAAATGACAAATGTTTTAGGTCCATCGAAATTGCCTGGATTCCCTGGTATTCAGAGTACACACAATGTAGCTCCTGGAAGATAGTGCGAAAGTTTACATGACCAATGTCTAACACGATTCACCCAGACCAGCCGAGTGGCGCGCGGCTTTCACACTGAAATGAAAGAGTTCCTTCTAACGAAAAAATAGCCCTGGAAGGAGGGCCGATACACACCAACTACATTATAGCCCGCCCAGTACTATTGAAGTGCTTAAATCGCAGGTACGTGGATCTCACACCAGAGTCGGCCGCTTCCGTGATTTTCAGGGTGTACTCCGGTCATCTCAGCTTCGATTTTTTTTTTGGAGAAGACCAATCAACAGCCCTGGTAGGAAGGCAGCGAGCAAGGAAATCAACGGCTTCTGCACCAGGCGCATGACGTGACGTTGTCTACGATGCACTGTACTTGTCGTCATGAGGGACTGCCGCAGAGGGGGTGGGATGGCATCATTTGCGATATCAAATCCCAATCCGAACGCCTCAGGCCAACGCTTGCACCGCTCTGTAAGTTGCCACACCACAAGCTTTGTATGATCAAAACAGCGTCCATGTTTCAACGGGGAACAGAATTCCAGCTGGGTGCATGTACTCCAAGCATTTTCGCAGGATGAGCTTGCACCAGAACCGGCGTGCCTCGTTTGCAATACACCTGATGCCCATTAGGACCCCATTGCGTTTTTGGGGGACGGTCTCAAACTGAATGCAGCGGAATGGTTGGATTAGGAAGGTTGAGAGTACAAATACAAACCCTAAAATGCTATCCTCCCTACAATGTGCCTCACTACAGCATATTACACAAACTTGCGAAGTTTGACAGGCAGGAGGGGGGTTGGGGTTGGGGGTTGGGTTTCCGGAATTTTCTTTCTTTAGCCCCAGGGCTTAGTTTGTGTTTTAGATTATGATTAAAAACCCTCTGGTTTACTGCACGGGCAGATAAGGTATCAGAATTGTTCCAGATTAGGATGACATTTGAAAGACCAGAAAATTATTGGACCTCAAAAACACAAAGTTATCATTCTAGAACAATATCTCTTAGTGAGGCACAAGGCAGAATAACCGGGCTGACCAAGAACAGCCACCCCAATCAGCCTATTAAACCACCCTACCCTCTTGTTTCACTGCCTCCTCCTGTTCGCTTAGCCCCCCATTCCCATTCCCATTCCCATTCCCAGTGCCGTTGCGCTCATGCCACTCGTCGTCCTCCAGCAGGTGATCATGCACCACCTCCAAATCCACCCTCGCTGCCGCCTCCTCCTTCTCCTTCTCCGCCTCCTGCGTCACCGGTGGCACAAACACGCACGTGCTGCAGTCATCTGAATCCCGCAGCTCCAGCAGCAGCGGCACCACCGACGGGTCAGCCAGCGTGCTCAGATCCCCAAGCTCGTCCTCCTGCCGGGCGGCAATCTTGCGCAGGATGCGCCGCATGATCTTGCCACTGCGTGTCTTGGGCAGGTGCGGCGCCCAGTGGATGTGGTCGGGTGCAGCGAAGGCGCCGATCTGAGAGCGCACGGTGCGCACGAGCTCGAGACGCAGGTCGTCTGCGTACTCAACGCCGGAGACCAGCGTCACGTACGCGTATATGCCCTGCCCCTTTATCTGCACACGGTGCCACACGTGGAGGGCAGGAGTAAGGGCAGGCAGGCAGGCAGGCAGTTAAGAGGGCAGGAGGGCATTGGGATGCAAGAAGAGGATTGGGATGGATGAAGAGCAGAGAGGGGCGAGGGGAGGGCCCCGCTGCCCGTGACACCAAACATTCTCCGAGTCATCAACAGCATTCCAATGAGCAGCAAGCGGCTTACCTCGTGGTCGAAGCCAACGACAGCAGCCTCAGCACAGGCGGGGTGGGCCACGAGGGCCGACTCCACCTCTGCTGTGCCGATGCGGTGCCCACTCACGTTTATCACATCGTCCACCCGCCCCGTCACCCAGTAGTACCCATCCTCATCCCTGGTTCGGGAGAGGGGCGATGGGAAGAGAAGAGAGGGGTGGTATTACTACTCTGGTGTGCTTGTTTGCCTGCAAAGTGCCCTCTTTTTTGGGGGTTCGAGAGACGGAGGGAAATGTGACCTTGTGCCACTTTTACGGATGCAGCTCGCCTCTCCAACCCCTCTCCCACCTCACCTGCGGCACGCACCCCCCTCGCCTCACCTCCTGCAGCCATCCCCCGAGAAGTAGAAGCCCTTGAAGGGCGCAAAGTAGTTGGTCTCATAGCGCTCGTGGTCGTGCAGCAGCGTGCGGAACATGCCCGGCCACGCCGCCTTCACACACAGGTACCCCTCGCCCGGCCCCGATACCTCCTCGCCCCGCTCGTCCACCATCGCCGCCTGCACTCCGAAGAACGGGAACGATGCTGCCCCGGGCCGCTGCGGCCATGCGCCTGGCAGGGGAAGAATCTGGTGGGGGGAGAGGAGGTGGAGCGGAGGGGATGGAAGTGTGGAATGACAAGTTGTGGAGAGAGGAGGGCGTGTAGGGGAGAGGCGGCATGGAAAGGTAGACATGCTTGGGATGCGTTGAGCAGCATGAGAGTCGGTGTTGCCTAGGACAGGGCCACAGGCACATGCTTGCGCCACTAGCAGTGGGCCACGGGCACGCACCATGAAGCCGCCGGACTCAGTCTGCCACCACGTGTCGCTGATGGGGCACCGGTCCTCTCCCACCAATGTGCTGTACCACCTGCATGCGGGAAGGGGGTGAGAGGGGAGGGGAGGAGGGGGGGAGGACGGTGAGAGGAAGTAGAGTGGCGGGGTGTAGGAATAGGTGCGCGTGCTGAGGTGTGAGGCACATGACGGGCATAGTCCACTCCAGTGTTGGGTGCATGGCTGTTGGGTGCATGGCTGTTGGGTGCATGGCTGTTGGGTGCATGGCTGTGGCTGTGGATGCTGGCACGTGGCATATGGCAATGGCGAGAGTGATGAGTGCGAGCGTAGCGTTGGCAGGGGCGACATGCGCTTAGCAGAGAGCAGAAGGGCAGGGCAGGCTACTCACTTCCATGCGGAGGGGTTGATGGGCTCGCCCACGCTGCCCAGCACTCGCAGCGACGTGCGCTTTGATGCCTCCACCCACTGCTCTCATGCATGCACGCATGCACACACACACGTGGCATAGGGGAGGTGGAGATTAGGAGATGGGTGGGTGCAGGCAGATGTGATGGTGGGGAGGGACTCAGAGCGTGCAGGCATGTGGGTGATGTGCGCACGTCCACGCTCAATGCACGTGGCTGCGCAACGTCACACTGCTCGAGCACAACCCACGCTCCCCATGCGCACCAACCCCCACTCACCCCCTATGCACCCGCCATACGCCCCCATGTGCCCCCCATGCGCCCCATGTGCTTCCCAACGCACCCCCATGCGCTTACCTGGTCTCCACTGCGCATGGCAGCGCGGATGGCGGTGGGAGCGGTGTAGAAGAGCGACACGGCGTAGCGATCCACGATGCGCCACCAGCGCCCCCAGTCGGGGTAGTTGGGCACTCCCTCGAATAGCACCTGGTGAGAAAGAGAGGGGGGGGGGAAAAGGGTGGGGATTAAACGACATTTTGTCGCAGCACAGGGAGGGGAATAAGCGTGGGGAGGTAGATGGGCGGGAGGAGAGGTTTCAATGCGACAAGCATTGAGTGCAGCGGGCGGGTGGGCTCATGGCCATGCAGAGGCGTGAAGGAAAGGAGCAGAGAGAAGGGGCTTATGCCTGTCAGTCAGACAGGGGCGGCAAAGCAGGGGGCGCAGAAGCAAACGGCCTGTTGGGCAGCCGGCGGCACTTTTGAGCATTCTCAACAGCGCACCTGCGAGGCGCCGTTGAGGAGGGGCCCGTAGGCGACGTAGCTGTGGCCGGTGATCCACCCGCAGTCCGCCGTGCACCAGTACACGTCAGTGGGCTTCCAGTCAAACGCGTGCTTGAACGTCGTTGCCGTGTATACCATGTAGCCGCCCGTTGTGTGCACCACTCCCTGGCGGGGGCAAGCATGGGGAGGACAGGGGGAAGGGGGAAAGGGGGAAGGGGGAAAGGGGGAGGAGGGAAGGGAGGAAAGGAAGGACAGTGAGGGCGCGGTTGCGGGGTGAATTATGCCGCTCAAGCTATTCAGCTTTCCTCTGCTCCTCCCCTGCTGCAATGCATACCCCCTGTTTCCCCTCACCGTTCGTTATAGTCACACACACCGACATCCACAGACGTACCTTGGGGCGGCCCGTGGATCCCGAGGTGTAGAGCAGGAAGAGCGGGTCCTCCGCGTCCATCCACTCCACGTCATCACTGCCCGGTGCCACGTCAGCGTGGCCAATGACGTCCTGCCACCACACGTCACGGCCCTCCACCATGTTGACCGCATCTCGCGCCATGGCGGGCGGGTTGTCCGCCACCACCACGCGCGCCACTGCGCCGCCCCGCAGCGCCATTCACAAGGGGGAAAGAGGTGGGGTGGCATGGGAAGGGGCGGGAGTGGGGGAGAGGAAGGGTGGAGTTGAGAGGAAGAGCCATCTAGCAGCGATGCGAGGGATGAGGGAGCGAGAGAGACGCGAGAGGCGAGGGGGAAGAAGGGAGAAGGGCGGGAGAAAGGGCGCGGTACCATGAAGGTCCAGGGAGAGCGCGACGGCGGCGTCCGCGATGTCCTTGAGCTTGATGGGCTTCGAGCCGCGCATCGTGCCGGAACACGTCAGCAGCACCCGCGACTCGCAGTCCTGCATGCGCTGCGCGAGCGACTCGGCGGAGAAGCCGCCGAAGACGACGGAGTGGACGGCGCCGATGCGCGCGCAGGCGAGCATGGCGACGGGCAGCTCGAGCACCATGGGCATGTAAATCGTCACGTAGTCGCCGCGCTTCACGCCTTGCGACCGCAGATACGCCGCCGTCTGCTTCACGCGCTCCAGCAGCTCCGCGTACGTCAGCGTGACGGAATCCGTTTCGTCGTTACCCTCCCAGAAGAACGCGACGCGGTGCCCCTGCCCCTGCTCCACCCAACGGTCGACGGCGTTGTAGCAGATGTTGGTCGCGCCGCCCTTGAACCACTCCACGTTCACGCGCCCGCGCCGCATGTCCAGGTTCTCTGAATGCACCTTGCCGTCGGGCGACACGGGGAAGGGCGTGCGCCAATAGAACTGCCGCGCCAGGTCCGCCCAGAACGCGTCGGGCTGCTCGATGGAGCGCCGGTACATCTCCTCGTACTGTAACGCCACATGACACGGCACGGCATAACATGACGAGCGGTAATTGACAACACATTTTTCTTGTGTCTCGTTTCGAGTTACATGCTCGAATCGTATCTCACACGATGCCCAACCAGAAACAATTCCGTAATCGAAGAGCGACGAACGACGAGCGACGACACGAGCCACTTCAATGTTGTTCGCGACGTGGCAACAAAGTGTGGAACGCGCTTGTTTGAGTGCCCCACGACCCAATTCTCACCTGCGCCTGATCCTTCACAAGCGCCTGCGCGCGGAACTCTGCAGACGCTGTCACCTCCTCCCCCGCCTCGTGCGCCACCGCAATCTCCTCCGACGGCTTCGTCGCGGGCCTCACGTCCGCCAGCGCCGCGCGCGCCGGCGGAAGTCGCATTCTCCTGGCGCCGGCAGAATGGTTGCCCTTTTTCGACCGCGCTGCTGCCTTGCGGAGTCGACGCAAGACCGCCGCGTCATTCCCTAGGAACGCGCTGCGCGCCGACGACGCAGCTTCAGCGGCGACGGGCCTGCTGACCGCGGCAAGCGGCTGCCGTGCAGCAACGCGAGCAGACACGGAACAAGCCATCGTGGACTCCTGTCCTCAGGATGGCAACTCGGGCAACAGGACGACGACTCTAAACGCACGAGGATACAGTCGAGTGGCACCTGTTGCTTCCAAACAGAGGATGAAGCTGAAGTAGGAGATAGAGAGGTGCGTAATGCTGAACGATAAATGAAGGGTCTTGCAGTTATATGCTGCTGGAGGTCGAAACAGTCGAGGAAAATGGCGCCCCAGGGAGGGCTGTGATTCAGTGAGGGTGATGAGGACATGGGACGCGGAACTGAATTCGTAACCGGGTAACGGCCTTGTGTCACGGAATCCAGAAACGGTTCAATCTGGTATCCAATCAACGGTTGTGGCTCTACGCAATTGACGGGTGACACGCGCATCGCGAGCGAGTTCATCGGTTTGGCCATCGGAAAGCCGACCTGGAGCAGTTGGGTGAGCTGGTTTGGGGGTTCAAGACTCCCACCCAATGGCTTCAGCGAATGTTGCTGTTTATCCAGACACGTGGGAAAAGTCAAGCTTCGCCGAAGCTTATTTGAGATTTCCAGTGGTCCCACTTATACATCCTCGTTACACCAGCGTCGGCTATTTGCATTACCGAAGCTATGTATGAACCCCCATATATAGATTGATTGGAAACCAAAGAAAAACATGTCAACATTCCCCCCGATACTAGAAGCATTTCTGTCCGAAAGCTTGTCGGTGACACGTCAGATATCGCTATACGGTTACAACCGTCACCGAAAACCATTCAGAGAGAGCCAATCACACATGTTCTCATCTTGATAGAGGGGTACCTTTTGCCCAGCACATTTCAGGTGGAACAAGGATTGTAGCCTTGGGGGACGACATGCGGGGCGGAGGTCAAGGGGGATAGTGAAGTCGCGCGGACAGTACAGCTGCCAGGGAATTTTGGTCGCTTTCCCCCAAAACCAACGACATTTCCCCACTGCTGCCCCTAAATCGAGCCAACCCAACCAAACCGAACCCAAGCCTCTTGCCGCGCGCGAGCGAGCGGGCTGGAGGACCTGGGAGCACGGCGCGGCGCAAAGCAGAGGCGCAAGGAGAGGAGAGTTGGGCGCAGAGCGGAAGGAGCGCATCGTCCATGAGTCGGCACGGCAGCTTCGTTGTGGCAGTTGCGGCCAGGCACACTTCTCGACTTCGCCCTCACAGTTTTCTTGCTGTTTCCAGCTTGCCTCCACACACCCTCAACTTGCTCCTCGAAGCGAAGCTAATCCGTGGCCAGCCTTGTTCAGTGTTCCCTCCTCCTGGCGCGCTGTTCCGCTGTGCATCGCAGAAGTTGTTTACTTTTGCGTTGTTTGCTCCGCGAATCACGCCGATCGCCACCACAGAAGAGCACTAATCAGCCGTGCTGTTCCCCCCCTGTGTCGCGCGCTCCCAGCGTAACGAAACGCTTGGCGCGTCAAACTCGACGCGCTGCCTCGGCGCGCAACGCATCGACCGCTCTTCTATCCTTTCATCGCGACTCCACCACCACCGCAAGACACGCCTGCGCGCAGCGCAAATACCGTCGCAATGCCGTTCCATAGTAGACGCTCCGCTTCCTCGTGCCACGATCTGCTGCCTCTCCTCCTACTCGTTCTCCCCTTCATAAGCCACGTCAGCGCGCAGGCCAGCGCAAAAACGTACCCGCTGTGCCCGTTCACGCAGAAGCCGCCGGCGAAGCCGAACGTGACGATGTCGCGGTGCGTGGACGCGTCGGAGCACGCGTGCTGCGCGGACTGCAGCGACGCGAGCAACGCGCTGCACGGGCTGACGGCGAACCAGACCGTTGTGCTGGAGATGCTCAAACCCGAGATCGTCGCCATCATCGGCAACAAGGACGTGCAGGTGACTATAACGCGGACGTGCAGGTGACTATAACGCGGTTGACCAGGTGATTGTAGCGAGGACGTACAGGTGAGAGAAGACAGAACACGTGCGTGGATCAAGGACTGTTGTAGGTATTCATCAACTGTTATTCAGCAATCTCGCTCTGAATCGCATCCCTCACCCATTTCCTCCGCCACCCATGGTTCCCCCTGTTCCCTCGTTACCGGCGCGTCTGCTTGCGCGTGTGCGTGTGCGCGTGCGGGGGCGGGCGCGTGGCAGCAATGCGCGATGTTCGTGGGGTTCGACATGTGCAGCTACGACCTGGAGCAGCTCTACTGCGCCATCACCTGCAACCCCGGTCAGCCCACGGCCATGCCCATGCACATGCCATGCGCACTACTGCCATACCCATATCCGTGCCATGTATGCGTCCATATGTCCATGCCATGCCATGCCATGCCCATGCCTCCTGACCACCCACCATCTCACGCTCCTCCTCATTCTCCACTTGACCGTCTCTCCGTCTCTCCACGGCACCAGATGGCGGCACGTATGTCAAGGCGTCGACAGCGACAACTGGCGTGCTGACGGTGTGCGATGCGTACGCCACCCAGGTGTACGGCGACTGCAAGGACGTGCCCAGTGCGTGGGGAGGGAGGGAGAAGGGGGGAGGGGAGGTGGGGAAGAGGGGACAGACCATGGGTTTTGAGAGGGAGAGGCAGGAGGGGTGGTGTTAGTCACCGATTGCGCCCAGAACGCCCACCCACACAGCACACGACACCTTGGGCGTATCTGCGTGCCTGGGGTGACAAAGCTGCCCTTGAGCACCCATGCCTCGTGGCCCGGCACCGCTCGCACACAGCTGCCATGCGCCATCCGCCAGCTGCCACCTGGGCGCACTGGGTGCTGGCGGATGGCTGCTGCCTGCCAACGGTGCCGGGCCATGAGGCATCGGTAGCTGGCTGGGAGGTAGCTCCTGTGAGGTGCTCGCGTTTATGGGTGCATGGGTGCATGGGTACAGGGGTTCATGCGTTCATGAGTGCATGGGCATGGTTTCTAGGGTATCCATGGCCTTGCTGTGTCCTCAACGCCTCTCCTCGTGGTGTTGCATGGTGGGGAACTGCATTGTGGTATTGCTCTCCTTGGGATGCTGTCATGTCATGGCACGGGCATGGATGGCATGGCATGGCATGGTATGGCATGGTATGGCATGGCATGGCATGGGGGCATGGCAGTGATGGGGCAGGCGACACTGGGCAGTCTATTGAGCAACAAGGAGATATTCATCAAGCTCGTATTCGGTCTGCTCTTCGCACGCTTCAGTGGCATCAACGTCACCGTCAACGTCGCCCAGGTACCCATCACAACCACGACACACCACACCACATTCCAATCTCGTTACAGCGCATTTTCTCCCAATAGCTCCTCACTGTGGCCACTGGCCACGTCTCCAGCGCAAGCAAGCCTTGACAAGAAAAAGCTGTGCCCATGCAATGCAGGGGCAGTCGGCGTGCTACAACGGGCCCAGCAAGCCGCTGCCACCCAAGCCGGTGTGCTGTGAGACGTTCACCAACACCCCCGGCTGCTCCTTCAAAAACGACTCCCTCCTCGCGCCCTACGTCGGCCGCCCCATCAACCCCAACGCATGTTCCGCGTACATCAATGGCACGAGTGCCAGCGATCCCACCAGCACAGGCACTTCAAATTCCGGCTCGTCGTCGTCGCAAGGCTCGTCTGCCAGCAGCGGCTCTCCCCCCAAGGATGCACCAAAGACGGCAATGAGCAGTGTATTCATGCTTACCCAAGCATTGCTTTTAGTGGTGTTCTCCATGCTGTTCTGGTAACACTTGTGGTGCAAAATCGGATGATTTGTTATTTATGATAAAAGTTTCCCTGCACATGCTATTTTTTCTGTCAAATTGTGGTTGGCTAGATTCTTTTGATTACTAGCATGAAAGCAGCCCTTACAGTGGAAAATGTCTCCCACACCAACCTTCAATCGGGGCTGTTCCAATTTCTCCATCGCCCCCTTCCATGGACCTGCGGACCTCGCATTTCCCCCCAATGGAAGTACTGTAGTTGCGTAGTGTAGCCGCCTCTGCAGAGCCAGTTCGCGGCGGATCGCAATGGCGGAAAAGAAAGGCATCCCGGCCGCGCAAGGGGCGCGCGGAGAGAACAGTCCGCGCATAGAGACAAGTGCGCGCGGAGATCGTAGACCTGATGGCGATGACGGTGCGGAGCCACGTGGCGCGGAGAGGCACGAGGCTCTGAAAGCTTCCTCGAAAGAGAATGTCGAGAAGCTCGCTGAGGAGGAGAAGCGCGGGGAAGAGCGCGTCGAGGAGGAGAAGCGCGGGGAAGAGCGCGTCGAGGAGGAGAAGCGCGGGGAAGAGCGCGTCGAGGAGGGTAAGGAGGGCGATGAAGCGGACGAGGATTACTTGGTGCTCAGCGAAGTCCACGTGGCATGCCCCTCGCACCACGTCAGCACCGTCAGCACCTTCGCCTTCCGCCTGCCCCCTGCCGTGGTGACGGCGGAATGGGCGCTACGCGGGGAGGCGGGGAATGCGGAGGGATGGGAGGGGTCGGAAGACGCGGGGCGGAGTGGCGCGGCGGAAAGCAGTGAGGGGATAGCAGGGGAGCGGGAGGCGCGGAGCGGGGCGGAAGGGGTGCGAGTGGCGGAGGATGCGGACGGCGATCTGCTGGTGGCGCGGCGCAAGAGGCGGAAAGCAGGCAGTGGTGGGGGAGGCACAGGCGGTGGTGGCGGGCAGAGAGGTGAGGTCGGGAGTGGGGTAAATGGGGGTTGAGGAGGGAGAGAGGAGGGCAGGAGGGGCAGGGGCGAGGGGGATGAGGTTGCTGAGTCTTCTAGTGGGTTGCGTGTTGCCCGAAACACCGCTAACCGCGCCGCTCTCCCCATTCCCTGGCTTCCCCCTTCTGCTGACAGGGCAGGTAATGACGTGCAGCTGCCAGCAGCAGCAGTGCCACGTGGCAAAGCAATGCAAGGGGCTGCAGGGGAGGAGGAGGACGAGGGCGGGGAGGGGGAGGGGGGAGTAGAGGCTGGGGAAGGAGGTGGAGTGGAAGGAGGGGGGGAAGAAGGAGAGGGAGAAAAAGGAGAGGATGAAGGCGTTGGAGCGGGAGGGTGGATGAGGGTGGTGATCCGGCACAGCATGAAGACCACCATTGCTCATGTGGGCATGCAGGTGAGGCGGGCAGGTGAGGTGGGCAGGTGAGGTGGGCGGGTGAGGGGGGCAGGTGAGACGTCGTGCTGCCCTGGTCTCACCAATCCTCTCTGCTCTCGCCACCTGCCCTCCCCCGCTGCTGTCCCTCACACCGCCTTTCTGCTTGCCTCTGCTACCCCGTTCTCCCTCTCTCCAACGCCCCCTGTCCCCCCCACCAGGTCTGGCGCGCAGCACTGCTGCTGGCGGACGTCATGGTGGCGAACCACCGCCTACTGGGGGGCGCCACTGTGCTCGAGCTGGGGGCAGGCGCAGGTACTCCTGGGGGGGCGTGTGGCGCTCTGGGCACAGGTGCGCGGGGGGAGGACTAGCGCTCTGGGCACAGGTGCGCGGGGGGAGGACTAGCGCTCTGGGCACAGGTGCACTTGAGGGGAGGAATGGCGCTCTGGGTGGGCATGTATGATGCCTTCCGACTGTTTCACGCTGCATTCTTTCTGCGCCTCAGCTTGCCACACGGCCGACACCAACCACTTTACCTCCTCTCTGCCCTGTCCTGCCCTGCCCGGCCCTGCCCCCCCCTGCTCTGCGTGCACGGGAGCAGGGCTGGCGGGCATCACAGCGGCGCACTTCGCCAGCCGTGTCATCCTCACAGGTACCACCTTCTCTCACTTCACTCCCCCTCTCTCTCTCCCTCCTGCCGCCCCTCCTTTAACTCAGCGTCTGCCCACCCTTCATCCCTCGCATGCCCTCACACATCCCTCGCATGCCCTCACACATCTCTCGCTCACCGCCTTCCCTGCCTCTGCGCCCTGCCCTGCGTCCCTGCACCCTCACTTCCATTGCCCTGCGGTTCACAAGACACAGGTCACGGCGTGCTTCCCAATTGCGCTGCCAACGCTGCTGATGCTGCCATGGCACACAGTGCAGCCAGTGCACTCACGGGTACCTCATGGCGCCCCCCCAGCCCCGTGGCAGCAGCTCTGGTTCGCCGCCTTGACTGGCGCCACGGCTGGCCCCCTCCCGTGGTAACCAGGCAATCCGGCCTCCACCAATCAGTGACCAGGTCTGGCAGCAGCAGTGCACCGGGCAGGGCGGCAGGCGCACAGGCGGAAATGGGTGGCGCAGTGGACCCGTTTAATGGGATAGACCCGTTTGGGTGGACTGAGGAGGAAGTGAGTGACGCCAGCAACGCCACAGTGCTGCTAGCTGCTGACGTCATCTACAGTGATGACATCACGTGTGCCTTCTTCACCACCCTTTGCTCTGTCCTGCGCTGTGGCCCTCCCAAGGTGCCTCCACTGTCCCTCTCTCTCCCTTCATTCGTCTAGTATCTCCCACTCCCACCATACCTTCCACAAGACGTAACTCGCACCTCATTTATTGCCACACATAATTCACATTTTGAAATCCAACCCAAAGGTGCTACAAGTCTCAGCTCCCCCTTCTTGCTGCGTCTCATGGGCCATTGTCCCATTCTCACCAACCTCCCAGTGTGTACCTACCTCTTCCTCTCAACCTCTCCTTTCCCTGCCTGTATGTCCTCATGTCCCCCTCCCCCCAACCAGCTCTTACTGCTGGCGTTGGAGAAGCGGTTCAACTTCTCCCTCTCCCACCTCGCCCCCGTTGCCAACGGCTACGCCGTCTTCCGCTCCCACTTCGCCGCCCAAAACGGTGCTCCCAGCTGGTACAGTGGCGGCCACTGTAGCAGCACGCAGCGAGCAGAAAAGCCAGGAGAGGCCAGCTGCAGACTGGATGAGCACACGTGTGGTGGGCGGGGAAGGGGGGTAGATGGACGGCAGAGAGAGGGGCGTGGGGACGGGGATGGGGATGATGGGAACAGGGAGGGGGAAGAGGGGGAGGAGCTGTTGGGGTGGCGCATGGATGTGGGGCAGGTACCGCAGCACGTGGTGGGGTGGGAGAGGGGGAGCGACATGGAGCTGTGGATCATTGGCAACCAGCGGTCACTGCCGTTGGTGTGTGCGTGGATAGAGAGGGGTGTTGGTCTGTCTCCCTGCGAGGGTGGAGAAGAGGATCAGTGCTCCCCTCCTGAAGCCTTACTAGCAAATCCCTGAGTCCTGTAGTGAAAGTTATTATTATCTCAGTGCTTTCACATAGGAGTGCAGCCTGACAGGGCATTGTGTTCTGCAATTGCGTGGTGCCATACTGTTAAGCACTCGTAACCATGTAGTTATGACCTCGTACACAATCAATGATGGACTGGAACATATATACATTGGCCAGATTATGCAATTTTCTGCTCTAAAACAGTGGTGCAAAGAGGGAGTAGGCAAGGCAAAGAGAGAACACGCAAGGCACCATAATATAGACGGCGCCACAATTGAGCATCACACTCCCCGTAATGCTGCTCAGTACACGAACGGCACGAACCGCTTCACCCTCTTCATATAAGCAAGGTACCTCTCCCCGAACCGCTCCCTCAGGTGCCTCTCCTCCACGCGCGCCTTGGCGTCATGCACCGCCGCCATGGCGCACGCCGCCAGCAGCCGCGCCGTGCTGCCCGTCACGCACGCGACGGCGGCGGAGAGCAGCACGGCCGCGGCGTACATGGGGTGGCGTGCGAAGCGGTACACCCCGCCCGTCTTTAGCCCAGCGCCATCCGCGCGCGGCTTGGGGAAGGGCGAGAAGCTCCCCGCCAGGTCGTTGAACGACGCGAGGCCGAGGTACACGCTCAGCACGAGCAGCGGCACTCCCGCGACGAACGCGCCTTCGCGGATGGGCTGAGATGCGCAGAAGGAGAGTGGCAGGCGGAGCTTGTCTGAGACGAGCCAATCAGGAAGCGGGAAGAAGACGAGAGTCATGGCGAGGAGCTGAAACGGGATCCATACTTCCCCGCGGGAACCCAGCGTGTTTTTATCGAATATGTGCGCCCAGAACTTCTGGCGCTTCGGCGTGCCGAGCTTCTGCATCGGCGCGCTAGGCGTGGAAATGACCGGATCCGAGCTGTCAGCAGGGCGAGACGCCATGACTACAAGTTACGAATAGTCGGGGAATTAGCGAAATTTCTTTATCGACCTGGTTTGGATTGAGGACTATTGCTGCTGCACGCGGTTGGAAGCAGAAGAATGGGGTTGATTGAGAAAATCAGCAGTGTTATGCTTGCAGAAAAAGGGACTGGGGGGGTTGTTGCGAGTGCTTCACATCACAGGGAGCTAGGAGGGGCGTGAATTTCCAGCAATTCGCCTCTTGCGTGGGTGGGTGATATGTTTTGTTATTCGATCAACATCGAGTCGCTCCAGCCAGCACCGCAAAACGCGATGGCGAGAAGTGCTGACTCGGCGCATGCGACTGGTCATCCCTTATTCGACCACGTGGCATTCCACTTCTCTCGCTGATCCTGCTTGCAAATTTGAGGCGCGGTGTGAAATTGAGTACAGTAAAGTTCGTCCCGAGTGTACAGACTGAATGTCAAACTTTAGGTCTACCGAAAATCGTTTCGAATCATTCACTACAATCACGGATCCTTCTAAATTCTTTCCCAATTCCTCCACCCCTCCACTGCACACAGCACACGCAAAGCCCAAGCACCACCCAAGGAAGCACAAATTCCTTGCATTTCCTCACTACATGCTCCATGTTAGCGCACTCGCCGCGTCTTCCGCTCGGCCCATCGCGACCACTCCGCGATTTTCCCACCGCCAACTCAGATCGACTCTCTCATCCCATCGCCTATCCGCATTCGAACGAATTCCTTTTCATTCCATCTCCCGCCGTTCGTTTCACCACCATGTATCGCGGAGTGGTAACCAGATCGCTGAGCGCGGTGGCTCGTAGCAGCCGTCGGATCTCGTCCGCGGCACCCTCGAGGCGCCTCCACCAGCTTAGGAACCAGAATCTCTTGCCCTGCGGTCCCGAGATCACCCCGGTTTTCGGATCGTGCGGCGGGAAAGGCTCGTTACTGGCAGGTTGCAATCGCAGCCGTTGGATCCACCCGTCGTTTGCGGCGCGAGGGTTTGCGACATCGTCGACCGATGCGGGGCTTCTGAAGGTTCTTAAAGCGGAGCTGGAGCACGAGGAGCAGGACTACGAGCCGCCGGAAGTGAGCTTCTCCGTTTAGTGCACAGCACGCCACGCGCGACGGTGAAGTCTACATAGCGGAGCGCGTAATGCTGAGAACTGTTGATGCGTTGCGGATCGACGGTCTGAAAATGGGTTTCTGAGTAGGAATTGCTATAGGGTCAGATCCGTCATCGTGCGTTCAGAGATGCCTCTTCCCTCCTCCTCTCCGCCTCATGTCCCGCTGGTCACTCCCCCAACGTTCCCCCCCATCCCCCGAACCCCCCTTCTCCCCCGATCCCTTCTTCCCCGATCCCCTCATGCCCCCATCCCCGCATTCCCCCATTCCCTCATACCCCCGTCCCCCCATCCCTCAGGACCTGAAGGAGGGCCCCCCCGCGGAGTGGACGGTGGAGGAGCAGGGCGGCACCATCGACGCCGTGCTCAAAAGAACGTACCAGGGGGAGGCAATATCCGTCGTCGCGGCCTTCGCGGACGACGACGAGGCGTATCCGGAGGAAGGCGAGGGGGAGAGCGAGGAGGAGGAGGAGGGGGAGGAGGAGGAGCGCCTGACGCCGCTGTCGGTGCGGGTGACCGTTGCCAAGAAGGCGGATCAGGGGGAGCTGGAGATCGACTGCGTGGTGGACGGCAACTCTTGGATTATTCAGGACGTGCGTCTGGAGGACCCTGACGTGCCAGAGGACGGCATTCCCTATGGCGGCCCACAGTTCTCGTGAGTGCATTGCCCCCTTCATCTGCTCCTCATTTTCCTTCTCTTCCCCACCTTGCTTCTCTCCCCAACCTTCCCTCCTCCCCTTTGACACACCCCCCATCACGCTCTCCCTCCCCCGTCACTGCTCCTTTGCTGTTTTGCATTGTTCAACCTGTCATACGCCCACATTCCCAAGCGAACCAGCTTTTCCACGCATTCTACCCTTTTACTCACTTACCTTCTCCCTCCCCACCCAGTCCACCCTGCACCGTATCAATCCCACCACTGCTCTCCTCTCTCCTCCCCTCATCCCTGCCACAACCCCCCCCTCCCCCCCACCCCGCCAGCACGCTGGACCCGGTATTGCAGGAGCAGTTTGACTCGTTCCTGCGGCGGCGGGGCATCAGTGCAGGCCTGGCAGCGTACCTGAGGCGGTACCTGGAGGACAAGGAGCAGCGCGAGTACGTGCGCTGGCTCAAACGCCTCGGGGCCTTTGTGGCTCAGAAGTGATGAAATACGGGGAGAGTGGATGCTTCTGTGCTGAATCTACTGTACCATGTTCCCAGTGCCACGACAAGAGCATGGTTAGGATCTAGGCAAGAGTGTGTGACCTCACTTTAACCGTCGATCGATAGTCCAGCCAGATTAGATAACTCCACAACACTCTGAGAGTGCACTGTGGGCCAGATGTATGCTTTGAACTCAAATTCCTCCTGAGCTCTTAGTCATAGGTATATCCCCATGGAAGGTCCAACACCACAAGCTCTCGATGTGACTAGTGCTGCCAACACACCTAATCAATGGAACGTAAGGAAGGATGGAACCAATGCAGAAAAGAACACTCCTTCAGGAGTCTACAACGTGGGAGTCTACAACTAGTCTACTCTCAGTCACGCCCACTGCCCTGCCTCCAGGGGCTTCACCAACTCCTCACTCTGCCATCCCAGGCCCTCCCTCACAAACCCCATCCACTCGTCCCCCTCACACCCACTCCAATACCCACTCTCCTCCCCACCTACAACCCCCCCCCCCCTCCCCCACCCTCCACTCCCCCCTCTCCCTTCTCACCCCCCCTCACGGCCAAATCTCGCTGCATCTCCCCACCAAACTCCCTCTGCAAGTCATCCGAAGCGGCAATGAGCAGCAGCTCGCACCCGGGGTGATCAAGAAAGCCAGGTGGGTCCGCGGGGGCGAAGCGCAGCCCGTGAAGGCGCTGCTGCAGCGGTGGGGGGAAGGTTTGGAGGTGCACGGAGGGGCGCGCCAGGTAGGGCGGCCTGCTGGGCGCCTGGGGGTTCTTCACCTGCAGCACGTAGGAAGCTTCCCTCTCTATGTTGAACGCCTCCTGTGGACTCTCCTGCTCCCCCTTCTTCTCCCCTGCCTGCTCTGCACTCTTGGCTTCACCCACCTTCTTGCCACTTGCCTGCTCGCCCTCCCTCCCCTCCGGCCCTTGTTGCCCTCCAGCCTTCTCCTCCACTCCCGCTGCCTCGGACCACCGGAGCGAGTACACCAGGTGGGTGTGACTCTTCCTGCTGCTGCTGCTGCTGCTGCTGCTGCGGGCAGCCCCTCGGCCCGTGCTTCCTCTAGTTCCAGGCACGTGGCTCACAATCAAGTACCTGCCCGCTGCTGCTGCCCGCGCTGCTGCCACGTGCTGTGTGCCACGTGTCTTGGTCTCATAGGTGTCTACAGAAATGGGGCGGAGGGGGAAAGGGGGAGGGGTGGGGACGACAAGCAAGGCGCGTGTTAGAGATGCTGGGGAAAGCAAGTAGCTGTCCAATAGGAACGTTTTTTATGGGTAGGTAGTTCTGGCGAGTGTCCGTTGACTGGTCGCCCACCTACCTCCATCAAGCGCAGCCCTGATGTCCGCCACGTTTTGCGACACAGCATCCACATAGCCCCAGTGCGGTCGAGAGCGGTGCGAGGGCGTGGGCAGCAGCTTGCGCCCCACTACCAACAGGCGCAGAGGCGGCCGTTCCGGCCCCCCTTCCTCCTCTGCCCTCTCCCCTGCTGCGCTACTGCCTCCTGCGCCACTTGCCACGCCCTTTTCCTCCTCCTCCTTCTCCAACTGTTTCGTTTGCTCCTTCTTTTCACCCTTTTCCTTGCTCTGCTTACCCCCCTCCCCCTCCCCCTCCCCCTCCTCCCCTTTCTCCACCCCCCCCTCCTCCGTCGCCTCGTGCTTCACCTGTTTCCTCCTCAGCCCCTCCTCTCCTCCCTCCCCTTTCGCATCCCCCTCACCGTCTCCTCGCGCCCTCTTCCTCCCGTCGCCATCTCCCCCCTCCTCCCTCTTGACACCTTCCGCGTCATCACCACCCCGTCCCACTCCGCTCGCTGCCCTCACTCCCCTCTCCCCCACCACCTCCCTGTCCGCTGCATCCCCTCCCTCCTCTTTCACCCCTAGCGCCTGCCCCACCTGCTCATTCCCCTGTTGTAGAGGACTCTCCTCTACTTTGCAGGAACTGGGAGTTGTTCTAAACGATAGAGCTCTGTCTTAGCTTTCCAACGAGCCGTCAAACACGTCGATCGCCTAAGTATTCTCCGAGATATAGGCGTTCACGTGCTAGGTGGTGCTCTTGAATGCAAGTAAAGAAGCTCTCTGGAATTTGTGTTCGAATGTACCTTGTACAAAGAACTCTGAGTTTCACTATGATGGCATGCAATACAAAGAAAACAGATTTATAGCATGCAAACAAGATCGAATCGCACAAGTAACCTCGAACCGCTACACTCGCGAATGTTCGAGTAACATCGAAAGGGTGAAATTCGACTCTCGAATTTCACCGATCCGAATTCTCCTTGGGTCTCGAATGTTCCTGGTGCTGCCATGTGGCACCGAATCGAATGGGTCTTCCGAAGTCAATCCTCAACCCCACGCAAACCTGCAACTCACTCGAAGGTGAGCACAAGTCACACATTCGGTGGGTTGGGGGCATACAAACGCCCCACCACCACCTTGCTTCCAACACACGTAATCTCCAACATCCCCGCCTTCCCCCCTTCCCCTCTTTCCTTCCCCTCCGCGGCCTCCGCCTCCTCCGCCTTCCCCCCGCCATCATCCGCGCGCTCGCCGCTGTCCAGCGGGCGGAGAAGCATGTAGAAGCGCTGCACTTCATCCACGCTATGTGCCTCCTCGCGATTCACTTTAGGGCGGTAGAAGAAGAAAATATCGCCTCGTTCCTGATTAATTCCCAGCCATCCAAGCACGAGACAAAAAGGAGGTCACAGGTAAGCGTCCGTGAAACAAGTGCGAAAAGCGGAGGGCACCATGGCGATGCGCGTGGAGCGGCGCGAACGGGGCAGACGACACTGAAAGCCATCTTCACATCGTGAACTCACCAGAACGCGGTAGGGCTTGTGTATGTCAACCATGGTCGGAGGTTGAGAGGGATAGACGGCAAGGATCGAGGTGCACTATATCGTATACCACACGATTGGAAAGCGCGCCGGTAGTCGCAGCGGTCCTTTCGCCCTTGGAAAAGTTAACTCCTTCCGTCACAAGGGACAAGCTCTCAGTTCGCAGATCGCCTCTCATGTCGACTCGTAAGGTGTGTGGCTCTTGTGAACAGATGGCAATCGTAGCGCGGAATACATGCGTCATGTGGGGCTGAGAACCTGGATGCAGAATATCAAACGGGGCTGCATGGCTCTGACCATAACCTGCTTGTACGGCATTGTAAGTGATTCGATTGGGATGAAAGAATTAAAAAATACACGTATTTTTCTTGGCGTTTCGACACTTCATTGATTCTCCCTGCTTTCCAGCCCCCACTGACCTGGACAGCTTGTCGTCTTGCGTGTTTCAAATCGTTTCCGCCCGAGGTTTTCACTAAAGTCGCCCTGCCCAGCTCGCTGATCTCTAGGTCTAAACGAAACGAACCAAACTCGAGAAGCGGGGCAATCCCAAGGCTGCTGTGCGTGTTCCGTGCCGATCTGCGCGCGCACCGCCCAACCAAACCGTGCTCCTCAGCTCCTACTGGCTCGCTCCTCTGCTCACTTTCCCCACTTGTTTCCCTCAGGGCGTGTCCAGCGCGTACATTTTGGGAATATTAGTACCTTCACACGTTTCCCGGCTCAAAAAATCTCACTGTACCAAAAAACGAATATAAGGTGAGTCGAGTCCGAAGGATTGGGCCTTCCAGCGCGCGAACACAACCCTCTGCACACAAATTTCTACAGTTCGTGGAAAACGAGGTAACTGGTTGCCTCGTCTATCGTCGCACAGAAATTCACGCACAAGCGAAAATTCCACGCTTGAACGAAAATTACTGTAGCGGGCAGGACGCAATGCTGTACCCTTGTTCGCGCGCACACCGATTCCAGTAACGTGTGTTAGACGATCCGTCGTACGCGCAGCGGGCGTGCCGTCTTGTGAACGGAAGCTGATCGTGTCCAACCTTTTTGTAAAATGCAGTGTTACAATAGGAAATGTGGTAACTGAATGGGTTTATGAACTGTAAATGTACGCGCTGGACACGCCCTCAGCTCGCGTTTCTCCTCTGCTGCCTGTTCCACTTTACCTGCAGCTTCCTGTTTCAAGCCACCATTCCTCCGCATTTCACGTTAGACGTCCACGGGTCCACTCTTCGCGTTCCACAAGCGAGCGGTTTAGGTTTCAAATAATATACTATATTAGGCCTATAGCAACGCATGGGTTCGTATTCACAGCGTTCCTTCGCGTTTTTCAAATCAGTGCCGAGTCGGTTTTGAAGCCAAGGATGTCGGGAACGCTGATTGGTCAGGAACTGGAGCCCTCTCTGCTCGTAGACGTGGAGCTGCACTCGCCGCGCGATCCGGAGCTTCATCCGAGTCAGCATGCGCATCAGCAGCAGTTGGGCGGGAAAATGGAGTACAATTACCTCCAGGCACGTTTCACGGAACCGAGCCTTTAAGTTTGTTTCTAGGCAGGAAGCAGGATAAGGAAATTGCGTTACGTGGCGACGTCCTTATTGACGGTTGTTGTTACGACGCCATTCCGGCGTATTTCCGCCTTAGAGTTGTTTCGTGGCGTATGTCGAAGATTGGATGTAGGCAGCAGGTTTCTGCATTGCCATCGACGCATCAACAGCAGCACTGCTATATCTTAACCCGATCTCGGTGCTGTATTAGGGCTTGGATTAAGGTCACGCGCGACGCTGCGACTTCGTTTGAACTGCGATGCGGTAGCCTGGACAAGCGGTTTGGCTTGCTCTGCATCGTGCTTCATTAGCCTCGATATTGCTCGCCGCTGATACATAGCTGTCAGGGAAATATAGCGGCTTAGGGCCGCTGATCAAGTAGCTAATGGAACGCCTTTTAAGGATTTATGAATTCGTTCATTCAAGCGGTTTCTGAATAACGCGTATTACTCTTCGAGTACATTGCTTCCCGTTCTTAAGTGGCCGATTTGTACAACGTTTTTGTTGATACGCATCGATAGGACTGTCTCCACTGCTTCCCCCCACAACTGCGCAGCCCTCCTTTTACCACTCCTCCCGCGTGTAGATCCCTCTCTCTCTTCCCACATACACGAAAACCGCATATTCTTAGGTTTCTCGAGCAAAAATAACATTCCTCATCCTTATCCCCGCTCACGTGCAATCCGCGCGTGCCTTTGTGCGCATGTGGTTGCGGTGGGTGCGCGCAGCGGGTGAAGGTGTACCGCCTGAACGACGACGGCAAGTGGGACGACAAGGGCACGGGCCACGTGTCCGTCGAGTATCTCGAGGTGAGGCCCGGGTACAAGGTACGGGCGAGGGTGGGAACGCAGCAGACGTAGGGTTGATCTGGCCTCTATTCTGCAGCAGACCTAAGCCTTCCAATCTGGCATTCGTTCTCCAGAAACCGCACGCATTTGTCTAGCCTAGCGTTCTAATACTTGGTCAACTCTCCCCCTCCGTGTGCCTCCTTCTGTGTGCATCCGTGCGTGGCGGGGCTATGCGTGGGTGGCACGGCGGAACGGCAGCGGTCGGACGCGATAGGGCTGGTGGTGATCGACGAGGAGGACAACGCCACGCTGCTGGTGCACCGCATCTCCACCGACGACATCTACCAGCGCCAGGAAGGTACCGCCGCGGGAGGTACACCCAGGGGAGGTAGCGCCAGTGAAGGTAGACGCAGAAGAGGTAGACTTAGGGGGGGTAGCGCCTGCGGAGGATGGCCTAAGAGATGTTGCGCTGGGGGAAAGTAGACCTCGGGAAGGTAGCGCCAAGGGAGGTGGGCCTAGGGGAGGTAGCTCCAGGGAAGACCGCCCCACTTGGGAAGGTAATGCTAGGGAAGATGGCTCTAGGGGAAGGTAGCCCTAGAGAAGGGCAGCAGGCAGGCCCCTGGTTACCACACTACGTCTCACAAATACCGCGCTGCTGCAGATTGCCCCCCCCCCTCGAGCCACCTGCCTACCATAATCCTTTTCCACAACCCCCACTGCCCGCAAACCATGTCCCTGCTCGGCTCTCCCCCAACCCTTCCCCCAAACCCTCCCCGCTCCCCCCTCCCTCCCAACCGGCCAGACACCATCATCTCGTGGACGGATCCCGAGGTGGCGACGGACCTGGCGCTCAGCTTCCAGGAGAGCATGGGCTGTGCTTATATCTGGTGAGATGCGTGGGGTGTGCGTGTGCGTGTGCGCGATAAGAGGCTTGCACACATTTTTTCACCACCACACAAACCGATTTTTGTCAGCCATGGTGTATTTGACACTCAACGTTTGCCCCGCGATCATATGGTTTTTCGTGAGCTCTCCCAGTGTCTCTTACCTCCGTCCTCATCTCTCCTTCCCACTGCGTCTCTGCTTCTCTGCGTCTGCCTTTCCCCCTATGCCCACTGCCTGCCCACTGCCTGCCCACTGCCTTCTCTCTGGGCGGCAGGGATCAAATCTGCAACGTGCAGCGCCAGATCCAGCTGCCCTCCGTCCTGGGTAAGCCAGTGTGCCGTCCGCCCCTCGCGGCTTGTTGTTTGTAGCAGCCGAGCTGGGCTTCAGACGCCCTCACACTCCTCATCCTCTCGTATCCCTACGAAGCGCTCTCACTTTGCTACCCTCTCACCGTGTCGCCTGTAGCTCATCCCGCCTCCCCCTCTCCCTACCCCTCCCCACTCCCCATTCCCTTTCCCCCTCCCTGTCACTCTTCCCCTCCCTTCTCTTCTCACGCTCCGCTCCCCCCCCTCCCCATGCAGCAGCGGAGGTGGGCAAAGACTCATCGGAGCTGCCAGCAGTGGAGACCCGCACCCTGCCAGCCATCGCTAAGGTCTGCAGCCTGGCTGCTCACCTCGCAACCCCCTCCACCCCCCCCCCTCTACTCCCCCCCACCCCCAACCCCCCCCCTCTCCTCCTCCACACACACACACACACCCACGCCCCTCTTCTTCCCTGCCATCAGCACCGTTGCCCTCCTCTATCCTTTACCTCTTCTCGTCTCCTTCGCTTCAGACTGCTCTCGCCTTTCCCCTCACCCCCATTCCCCCCCTTCACCCCTATCCCCCTCTCTTTCCCATCCCCCTCCTCTTCCCCATCCCCTCCTCTCCCCCGTGCAGCTGGTGACGGACGTGTCCCCCTTCCACCGGGACCGAATGGCGTCCCTTATCCTCCGCGAGGTGATGCGCTCGCCCCCCCGCCCTCCTTCCGCCACGCCTGTCTTCTCCCTTCTGAGACGTCTCAAAAGCCCTCCTTCCGCCACGCCTTTCTTCTCCCTTCTGAGACGTCTCAAAAGCCCTCCTTCCGCCACGCCTTTCTTCTCCCTTCTGAGACGTTTCAAAAGCCCTCCTTCCGCCACGCCTTTCTTCTCCCTTCTGAGACGTCTCAAAAGCCCTCCTTCCGCCACGCCTTTCTTCTCCCTTCTGAGACGTCTCAAAAGCCCTCCTTCCGCCACGCCTTTCTTCTCCCTTCTGAGACGTCTCAAAAGCCCTCCTTCCGCCACACCTTTCTTCTCCCTTCTGAGACGTCTCAAAAGCCCTCCTTCCGCCACACCTTTCTTCTCCCTTCTGAGACGTCTCAAAAGCCCTCCTTCCGCCACGCCTTTCTTCTCCCTTCTGAGACGTCTCAAAAGCCCTCCTTCCGCCACGCCACGCCTTTCTTCTCCCTTCTGAGACGTCTCAAAAGCCCTCCTTCCGCCACGCCTTTCTTCTCCCTTCTGAGACGTCTCAAAGGCCCTCCTTCCGCCACGCCTTTCTTCTCCCTTCTGAGACGTCTCAAAAGCCCTCCTTCCGCCACGCCTTTCTTCTCCCTTCTGAGACGTCTCAAAAGCCCTCCTTCCGCCACGCCTTTCTTCTCCCTTCTGAGACGTCTCAAAAGCCCTCCTTCCGCCACACCTTTCTTCTCCCTTCTGAGACGTCTCAAAAGCCCTCCTTCCGCCACGCCTGTCTTCTCCCTTCTGAGACGTCTCAAAAGCCCTCCTTCCGCCACGCCTGTCTTCTCCCTTCTGAGACGTCTCAAAAGCCCTCCTTCCGCCACGCCTGTCTTCTCCCTTCTGAGACGTCTCAAAAGCCCTCCTTCCGCCACACCTGTCTTCTCCCTTCTGAGACGTCTCAAAAGCCCTCCTTCCGCCACACCTTTCTTCTCCCTTCTGAGACGTCTCAAAAGCCCTCCTTCCGCCACACCTTTCTTCTCCCTTCTGAGACGTCTCAAAAGCCCTCCTTCCGCCACGCCTTTCTTCTCCCTTTCTGCACCCATCCCCTCCTCTCTCTTCGATTGCTTCCCCGCTCCTCTTTTTTCACTGTCCTAACACTTACCCTCACCCTGCTCCGCTATCCCCGCCCTTCCCCTCTTCCCAACCAGCACCACTCACTCCTTTCCTCCACCCTCCTTTCCCGCCCCTCAACCCTCACCACCCCATTTTATCCCACAGGGCTACGTGCAGCGGCTGGTGGCGCTGTTCAGGGCGAGTGAGGGAGCACACGACACCCCCGCACTGCACCACCTCTACCGCGTCTTTAAAGGCCTCGGTGTGTGCCCCTGCCCTGCCCTGCCCCACGCTGCCCTGCTGCTCTGCGCTCTGCTGCTGTCCGTTCTGCTGCACTGGTATCACCCACGGTCGCTGTGTGCTGCACCACTCCATCCATATCCTCCATCCTCCCGCCATTCTCTCTCCGTCTCCCCAGCCGCCTGACTTCCAACTCCCCCATTCCCTTTTCCCTCCCCTCTTACCCTCTCCCCTCTCCCCATCCCTCTCCGGGCAGTGTTGCTGAATGATTCGCAGCTGTTGGAGCAGCTGTTTGCACCGGATGCCATCATGGACGTCATTGGCGCGCTTGAGTGTGAGTCACCATGCCACCATCCCACCACGCCACCATGTAATGCCACTTGTTCCCCGCACCGCCTCCCACATGCCTCACCTGCCACGTGTAGCTCATGTGTGACCCCCCTTGCCCCACCTTCCCTCTCCCACCTCCCCTCCCTGTTCTCGCCTCACCCCTCCGCACCCCATTATCCCCACCCTTCCCCACCCCATTTTCCCTGGCGCCCGGCCATCCAGACGACCCGGACGTGCCGTGCAGGCAGCAGCACCGTGCGAGTGTGCAGCAGCAGGCGGTGTACCGCGAGGCCCTCCCCATCCCCAGCGCCGCCCTGCTCGCCAAGATCCACCAGACGTACCGCCTCGGGTACATCAAGGTGCGCCCTTGGGAACATGAAGGTGAGACTCGTGGCGTGCTGTGCTGGTCAAAAACCACCCAGTCAACCCAGTCAACGCAGTCAACACACAGGTTGGGGTTGAGAGAGTGGGTAGGGATAGGAGGGCGGCAGTGTGGAGAGGGAGTCACCGTGGCATTGGCTGAGTCAAGTCAATGCAGTCCATGCGGTCAAGCGCCTGTTTCTTTCCTCACTGCCCCACGGCCCCACTGCTCCTGTGCCCTGCTGTGACTATCACAGGATGTGATTCTACCGAGGGCCCTTGACGACCAGACGTTCAGCAGCATCAACTCGCTCATTCTCTTCAACAACGTCGAGGTGCACCTCTCCTTCCTCCCTCCCTCATTTCCTCTCTCTTTCATTTCGTCTATATCGCTCCCGACAGCGCTCTCCTCTCCACCCACCAGAGCATCACTCGTTTATCACATCCTCCTGCCCTACTCCACCACACCACACCTCCCTACACTCCCCCTATCCATCTCTCCACGTCTCCTCTCTCTTCCCCTTCTGTACCTCAAACAAACTCTCTCCCCAACCCCCTCCGCCCCCCTCTCCCTCTCCCCCGTCCCCTCCACAGGTGGTGACGACACTACACAGCAGCAAGCCCTTCCTGGCGGACCTCTTTGCCCGCCTGCGCACCTCTGACCCCCACTCGCCCCAATTCACCGACCTTGTGAGTTCTCCTCCTCTCCTCCACCCCCTTTCCTTGCTCCTCTCACTCCACTCGCCTGTCACCCACGACCTGGGCTTCGCACACTGACTGCTTCCCTGTTTTGCGCAAGCAACCCCTCCTTCCCTCCCCACTCCCTCCCCACTCCCTCCCCACTCCCTCCCCATTCCTCCTACCCCACCCTCTCCCAGGTGCGGTTTCTGCAGGAGTTCTGCTCGCTGCACAAGCACCTGCAACTCGCCCAACGCACCTCCTTCTTCAGGTGCCACTCAACCCACTCGCCCTCCCGCCATGCCTCCTCCACCCACCTCACCAACCCACATTCGACATCCTGCTTCTCACCACCCCAATTCCTTTTCTGCTCTCCACTCTTTTGGACTGGACTTAAAAAACCTTCCCTTCCCTTGTCTCTCCCATCCACCTCTCCCATCCACCGCTGTGCAGTGCGCTGATAGCGTTGGGCCTCTTTGACGTGTGCACACTCGTCATGCAACACCCCCTGCACTCCGTGCGCCTCTCAGGGTGAGACGCACCACCCTAACCCGCCCCTTGCGCCTCTTGTCCCCATCTTGTGGTCTCGTCTATCAATCGGCCCATTTTTCAATGCGCATGTGGCGCACTCACTCTGTTCTCACATTCCTCCTTATCGCTCTCATCATTCCATTCCCTTATCTTTTTCCACCACCTCTCTCTCCCCCCCCCCTCCCTCTCACCACCACCATTGTGCAGAATCGACATACTCATGTCGCTGATGGTGCCAGACCCCGCCCCTCTGCGCACGTTCCTCGTGGAGCAACCCTCTCACGCCCTCCTCTCCTGCCTCGTATGCATCCCCTCACTTGCGCCCTCCACCTCGGCCTCGTATGATACCCCTCTCTCATTCTTAATGCGTGCCAGTGACGCAAACACCCTGGTGCTTTATTCCATAGGTATGATATGAACGTACTCAGCATCTGATGTGGTGTTCCGCTATATTGCACTGTGGTGTGGGGGGAGCAGGTGCGCGGTATGGTGGCGTGCAGGCAGGCGGAAGGAGGGCTGCACGCACAGCTGCTGGAGATGCTGAGAGTGCTGCTGGACCCCGATACCATGGACGCGGTGAGGCAAAGATTGTTCACCATGAGTAGTAGGATTAGTATGGTGAGCTGCATGCTGGGTTCAAGGGGTGCAGCAGCAGTGCCGTGCAGTTGCTTTGCTGGAGATGCTGAAACCTGCTCGGTATGATGCTCAGAGTGCTGCTGGACCCCGATACCATGGACGCGACGAGGCTCTCAGTGCACTCAGCATCATCGTTGTTGGGTGTGTAGTACAGTACTGTGTGGTGCATTCATGGATGCAGCAGCGGTGCATCTGCTGTTGCTGTGGAGTTGGATGGAAGCCATGCTACCAGGCATGCACACATGCACCACCACATTGTCACATCCTCACATGCACCACCACATTGTCACATCCTCACATGCACCACCACATTGTCACATCCTCGCATGCATCGTTCACAGAACACAGCGCATGCATGCACTGATACGTTGAGAGAGCTGCTTTATGTTCTTCTCTCATCACTTGTCTCATCTCTTCTCCCCATCGCTCCCTCTCCTTCCTTCCCTGCCAGGCCGACAAGAGCAAGTTTCTGGATCTCTTTTACGAGGACTATCTCCAGCTGCTCATCTCAGCCGTTGTTGCCGGCACCAGCGCATCTCAGCCGTCCACGTGCCCCTCTGCTGCCCGAAATTCCACCGGGGCTATGAAGAAGAGGCGGGCAGCACAGGGGAGAGCAGATGGTGGGGCGAGTGGGAGAGTAGATAGAGAAGCGGGGAGGGGAGCAGGAGGCAGGGGTGATGATGCAGAACCAGCAGAGAGGGATGGAGCAGAAGGACGGGAAGCAGAGAGAGGGGGAGGGAGGGGAGGAGGAGCAAGGGGTGAAGAGCAGGGGGGGACAGAGGGCGAGGAAAGGCGGGGCGGAGAGGGGGGCGGCGGTGGGCAGGGCGAGGAGCCCCCTTCACCAGACGTGCTGACGAGCATATGTGACCTGCTCTGCTTCTGCGTGCAGCACCACAGCTTCCGAATGAAGTGAGCGCTCTCTGTTCCCCCCACCCTCCTCCTCCCTCCACCCTCTGCGGCATGTCATTTGTTCGCCCCACAGCACAGCACGTGCATGAGAAGGGCCCCCTTGTTCAGCTCCGCTTGCACCCATATGTCATTCTCCAAGCGCCTCACGGTGTGTGAAATGTGCTCTCACATGCCGTCGCCACTCTCTCCCCCCCCCCCTTCTCTTCGCCCTCAGGTACTATGTGCTTCGCAACAGTGTGGCGGAGAAGGTGCTGCGATCCCTTTTCACACCCGTTTGCCTATGCGAGCACTCAAGCAAACAACCCCCTTTCCCAACCCCTCCCCCCCCTCCCTCCAGGTACTACGTGTTGCGCAACAGCGTGGCAGAGAAGGTGCTGCGGCTGACGCAGCGGCGAGAGAAGTACCTCTCTGTGGCCGCCATCCGCTTCCTGCGCTGTTGTGTCGCGCTCAAGGTATGCCCGCCATGCCGCCCTCCATGCATTCTTCATACGACTGGCTTGCACATGTGCTTTCAGGTGACGAACCGTGCACCTCCTGTCTCGCTATCACCAGCCCTTTCCAACCTTTCCATGCCCTCTCCCCCCCTCGTCCCCCCCTCCCCCCCGCCTGACAGGACGACTTCTACGTGCGCTATCTGGTGAAGAACCGCCTGCTGGACCCGGTCATGGCGGCCTTCCGAGCCAACGGGGCGCGCTACAACCTCCTCAACTCCGCCGTGCTGGAACTCATTGACTTCGTGCGCAAGGTGCGAATAATGCGCACGAATCTGCGCAAGGTGCGAATAGTGCGCACAAATCTGGCTCACTGTGGCGTCTTAGAAGGCGCGTGCCACCATCACAACTCCGCCGTGCCACTCTCACTCTCATTGTCCACTGACTTGGTCCGCGCGCGCGCGCCTTGGTCCGCGCGCGCGCCTTGGTCCGCCATGCCACTCTCACTCTCATTGTCACTCCAACCAACCTGGTCTTGTCGTGTCCTGTGCTCTCCTTGCGTGGTGTGTGCTCGTCAGGAGAACGTGAGGCCGCTAGTGGCGTACATAGTGGAGTCGTATGGCTCGTGGCTTGACTGCATTGACTACGTTGACTCCTTCAAGCTGCTGCGACTCAAATACGAACAGGTGAGAGGGATGGCACACGGGCGTGCAGGTGGGGCACGCCCAAGTAAGAGGAGAGGTGCGTGTTCCCATTGCTGTTCAAGTGATTGTTTTCCCCCACCACCATCATGCCCCTGTTGCTCCTTCCGTTGCTCCCATCATTGCTCCTGACTGCCCCCCCCCGTCACTGCCCCCTTGGCTTCCCCCCTCGCCCCCCCATATCTCTCTCCACAGAACCTCGAGTCCAACAGACCAGCTGTGCCTCCCCCAGTCGTCATCCTCCCCCCTTCCACCTCCCACCACCACACTCACCACCACCATCACCACCCGCACCAGCACCACCACCATCAGCAGCAGCAGCACCCGCCCTCCTCTCCTCCCACATCTCCTCCCTTTCCCTCTGCCGCGGCAGGCGCGGAACGACATGATAACGACGCTGCTGTTGATGCTGTCGATACGCATGCGCGTGGCAGTGTTGACACTGACGCTGCTCCTCTTAGTGAGGGTGATGCTGCTGCTGGTGCTGCTGATGCTAATACCAGTAATGATGGCTTTGACGATAGTACTAACAATGATGCTGATGCTGATGGTGGTGATGATGATGATGATGGTGGTGATGACGATGGTGAGGAGGAGGAAGAGGAGGAGGAGGATGGGGATGAGGAGGAGGGGGATGAGGAGGCTGAAGGCGAGGGGGGTAGCAGTGATGAAACTAACGATGCCGGCGCTAATGGCGGTGAAACCAAGGACGCTGATGCTAACAGTGGGAACGTTCAGAGGCTTCCGAACCTCTCTGGTTCAGCAGCAGGCTCAGCACTGGGTGTTGTGCCGGTGATGGGAGGGGAATGGGATGGGGGTGACGAAGGAGGAGGGGGAGTGGAGGTGGAGGGTGGGAGGGGGAGAGGGAGGGGGAGGGGGAGAGGGAGAGGGAGAAGACAGAGAGGCGGTCGAGAAGGGGGGGTGGAGGCGGATCCGCAAGACAACGGTTTTCAACAAGATGGCAGGTGGGGATTGCGAGGGATCGATTTTCTTGTCTTTTCAGAAGTTGGCAGGTGGGATCTTGCCTTTCTGCCGTGCATCCTCTTTCCCTGTGCTCTTTCTTCACCATCGCAATCACCCTTTTTTGTCTGCTGTCGCCCACATGCCTTTCCGCCGTTTCTCCCTTCTGCTGCCATCCCCACCACTGCCAGTGATGAGGATGGCGACAACCCCGAGTCTGCACCAGCAACGGTGCCGGGAACCCACTCCCCCCCTCTCCACCCGCCCCACCTATCCCACCTGCCCATTCCCCTGCCCTCCCTCCACCACCCTCCTCGCCTCCACCCCCGGTTACCCCCGCACCAACCCCTCTCCCCCACCGCCCGCCGGCCGTTCTCCCGCTCGCCCTCTCCCCCTCTCGGGCGGCCGTCTTTGTCTCCACCCGCCCGCCCGTTGTCCCCATCTGCCCGCCACCGCATGTCACGGTCGCCCTCGCCGCCCCCACCACTGCCCCCACTGCCGCCCATCAACGGCACCATCGGCAGCGAGTCTCGCAGGTGGGGTTCTGAGGCTGCTCTAGTGGAACCTGGAACGCCCTGGTCTCACATGTCAGTCAAAGGGAGGCAGATAGACCGCTGCAAAGAGTGGCCCCATGTGGGACTGGATCATGTTCTATCCTGTGTGCCTTTGGTCTCGTGTTCCAAAAGCTCCCTCCCAGCCCTTAATTCCCTTGAATTAACCTAGAATCCAATTGCGGCTTGCAATTTTTCTGACCGGGCTTAACGCTGTCCTTGCTTGCTCCTCTTCCCAATCGTGCCCTTCCCCGTTCAGGAAGCGGCCGCGTGGGTGCATGGACTCAACTGCAGCGCAGGCAGAAACCGGGGCGGATGGAAGGGGGGAGAGTGGGTGTGAGCAGGGAGGGGAAAGCAGTGAAGTGGCAGAAGGGGCAAGCAAGGGCAGGGCGGCAGAGGGAGGGGAGCCGGGGCCTAGCAGCAAGGCACTTGGTAGAAAACGCAGGTCTTCGGAGGGGAGAGGCGGGAGTGAGGGTGAGGAAGCAGGAGGTGGGACGAGGCAGGGGAGGAGGCAGTTGAGTGTGGTGGTGGGGGAAGGGGACGGGGAGGGCGCTGGGGAGGACCAAGGGGACTATGGAGATGGCAGTCCCAAGGGCAGCAGTCCCAATAGCAGCATTCTCAGGGGCGGCAGTCCCAAGGGCAACAGTCGAAAGGGCGGCAGTCCCAAGGACGGCAACTCCAAGGGGTCTAGTCCCAAAGGTAGCAGTCCCAAGGGCAGCAGTCCCAAGGGCGGCAGTCCCAAGGGCGGCAGTCCCAAAGGCGGCAGTCCCAAGGGCGGCAGTCCCAAAGGCGGCAGTCCCAAGGGCGGCAGTCCCAAGGGTGACCCGAGGGTGGGAGGTGTGAGAAGCATTGGGGATGCAGGCAAGAAGGCACTGTGCATGAGAAAACGTTTCCTGCAGGTGCGCACACAGGATAGCACCACTGCGGCGCCTCTGGGGGAGGTGGCACCTGGGGGAGGGGCGCCCAAGGGAAGAGGACGGGCGCAGGAAAGGGAGGAGCCGACTCTTGGTGTGTGCTCCCCTCGCCCTGTGCTCTGTGACCCGTGGCAGAGTGCGAGGGGGAAGGGGCGAGAGAGGACAGGGAGTGGGGAGGGGGATGAGGGCGATGGTGGCGATGGTGGTGAGGATGGTGAGTGGGCTGTAAGACTGGCTATGGCAGAGGAGGAGGAGGAGAGACGGCAGGGGGATGGGGGTGATGGGGGTGGTAGCAAGGGTGGAGGGAGTGAGGGAGCGAGGGGAGGTGGAGGTGTGGACGGTGAGTGTGCAGGCAATGAGGCAGCATGCGGGGATAGCGATGTGGGGGGAAAGGGTGGTAGAGATGCAGAGGAAGGAGGGGAAGACATGGATGGGGCTGGAAGGGGGGAGGTAGAGGGCCAGGAGGAGGAGAAAACACACGGGGAGAATGCAGGCAGTGGTGCGATGAGCATTGCAGATGAGGCAGGTGGGGCAGAAGGCACAGGCGGAGCAGGAGGGGCAGATGCACGGACAGCAGCAGCGGGAGGTGCACAAGGTGCGGCAAGATCGGTGGTTGAGGCGTTGAGGTAGCGAGCATGCTGCGAGCAGCACAGGATTATCTGGGGCTGCACGCATGGCGCTGCACAGCACAGGAGTACCGGTATGAGGGGCTGCAGGCATGGCGCTGCCCCTACAGAAGCATGTCACATGGCATGTCGGCCTAAGTGAGCGGCAGCTGAGACTGCAAGGCATGCATCAGCACGCACCACGGAAGTGGGTGTGCTAGGGTTATCATGGGAGGAAGTGTAGTCGTATCTCGTAGTGGCTCCCTTTGTTATTTGTGAATTTCTAAGCTTCGGCTGATGTTTGAAAAACATATCAGAAGTAATTAATCTCCCAGCTCCTGGCCTACAAGGCCAATACAAGTCAAAAACAAGTCCATATACTCCAATTTCCCATTCAGAGGCACGTCTGCCCTCTCAAAATCCCAAACCACCAATCACAGTCTGCCACGTCTACCAATCATGGTCCACGAGTTGCAGCATGGCAGCAGCATGCGGCCCTCTCAGCCACGCCACCAGGTCCGGCCCAAACGCCGTCAGCCTCCCCACATGCTGCTGCCCCCGCCCCCCCACCCCCAAGGGCAACCCCATGCGCTCCACCTCCTGCACCACCGCCTGTCGCACCCGCCCCTCCCCCTGCTCGCCCCTCTTTCCCCTCCACCTGCTGTTGTGCCCGCCTTGCCCTGTGACCACGACCACTTGGTGAGGTGCCACCACCACTCCCGGTGCCCCCTTCCTCCTCGCTCCCCCCCCTCCCCCGGTTACTCTCACCAGCACCCGCTGCCATGCTGCTGCCGGCGCCAGCTGCACCAGCAGCTCCGGTCCCCCTGCGTCTTCTCCTGCCGCTGCCTCTGCCTCTGCCTCTGCCTCTCCCTCTCCCTTTCTCACTGCCTCTGCCTCATTGCTCCACACTGATCCCCCTCCCCCATGGCTAGAACCATCTCTTTGGTGACGTGCCTCGCTCCTACTCCTCTCATCCGGGCTGTCGCTGGTAACAGCAGCAGCAGCGCCCACCTGCCGCCGTGCAGTGTCATTACAATGCACCACGTGCAGCAGCTTTACCAGCCACTGGTTCAGTGCCACCGCTGCTCCTCCGTACGACAGTCGCCGCACGTCCAGCTGCCACGTGTCGCCGCCTAATTGGACCAGCTCAGTCGCAGCACCTCCACCTTGTCTGGTTGTGATCACCTCCCCACCGACCCCTCGGTTGACCACATCACCCACACTCCTCTCACCATCAGGGCTGCTGCTGCTGCTGCTGCTGTCAATACTCTCACTGCTACTCGTGCTGAAACTTCTTCTAATACTGCTGTTGCTACTGCTGATGCTGCTGTTGCTGCTGCTGCTGCTGCTGCTGCTTTGCCCTCTGCTCACCCACCTAGCGTTGCCCCTCTCCCTGTTCCTCTGTGCATCTCCTGAGCCCTCCCCCAACCCCTGCATCAACCCAGCCTGCAGGGCGGCAGAAAGGACAAGCGCTGCCCTCCGGTGCCGGCCAAACGTCCAGAGGCAGTCTGTGAGAGTGGAAGCTAGCACCTCATGAGCGCGCGTGGCATGAGGGCGAGAGTGAGAAACGGAGAGATGTGTGGGAGGAGGAAGGGAGGAGGAAGACGAGGGAAGCGATGGTGACGGTTGGGAGAAGAGGAGGTGGACGAGACTATGCACCTGGGGAACACAGGGAAGCATGAGCGAGAGGAGCATGAAACACGGTTAGCAATGGGAGGAGCGAGGGATAGGGATGCAAAAGTGAAACAAGGGGTGAAAGGGATGAGCAAGGAGAGGAAGTAACGGGGGGAGAGGGAGGAAGGCAAGGCAGGCAAGCCGTGAACCATAACTCTACCTCCACACACCTGAGCATCACACAGGCCATCTTGCAGGATCAGGCGAGCACATGCCTCCCCCACGCCCCCCTCACTCTCCACCTCCCCCAGAAGCAACCTCAGCACCCTCCCCGCCTCCTCCTTCCTCCCGCTGCAGCACCCCGCTACACCCGCCAGCACGCTCGTCACCAGTGCCACGTCAGCGCGCTGCTGACACGCCGCCACGTCAGCGAGCACCGACTCGATGAGATCCGGCCGGCTGCGAGCGGCGCAGGAGGAGACGAGAGTAGCGAAGGTGAAGTGGTTGGGAGGGATGGAGAGGGATCGCATCTCCCGGTACACGTCCCACACCTCTGCACTCCTCCCAGCCGCTGCGTATGCTGCCATGAGAGTCGTGTAGGTCACTGTGTTGGGTCGCACACTGGGCCACGGGAAGCGAGGTTTGCGCTTGGTAGAGATCTCCGCTTGCTGCTGCTGCTGATGGTACGAATCATGTTCTTGCCGCATGTTGAAATCACCTGCTTTCTCTGCATGCCCCACTTCCATCACCTTCTCTCCCTCCTCGTACTCTTCATCCCCATCCGAAACCCCCTCCTCAAGCCCATCACCCTCCCCTCCCTCCTCGTCCTCCTCCTCACAACCCCCTGTTCCCCCACCATCCTCCCCCACCCCATTCTCTCCTCCTCCTCCTCCTCCTCCTCCCTCAAACCGCTCTCCACCGCCCATAGCTCCTCCTTCCCCGCGCATGAGTCCCAGCACGCCTTCAGCAGCGTCAGCATCGCCCTTTATGGCATACCCATGCATCAGAGCATTCCATGTCCGCACATTCGGCTGCACTGCTGCATAACGCACCCCCTCCCCATCCAACCTATCCCCCTCATTTCCCCCATTCCCCCCATTCCCCCCATTCCTTCCCCCCATCCCCCCACCACCCCCCACCGCCCCCAGCAGCAGCTCCTCCGCCTCCTCCACCCGCCCAGCCTGCCCCAGCCCCCACACATACGTCGTCAGCAGGACGGCGTTCATCGGCAGCTTGTGCGCCGCCCGCACGTGGTGCAGGAGCGAGAGGGCGGCATCAGGGTCTGCATGCACAAAGTGCATGTGAGCAATCATGTTGACTGCTGCCTGTGTGGGCGGCACTCCCCTCCTCTCCATGTCCCTCAGCAGCCTCCGTGCCTCCTTCACTTGACCCCCATTCACGCATGCGCGTATGAGACTGCTATAGGCGGATGCGCTGAGGGTGTGGGTACGCGGAGGGGGTTGCTTGCTGCTACCTGCACCAGAAGTAATCGCAGCAGGAGAAGGGCTTCCTTCTGCCATGTCAAGATGTGTCTTGTCCGCGTCAGCATGTGCCCTTTCCGCGTCAGCATGTGCCCTATCCATTGCCGCATGTGTGAGCCGCACCAATCGCAGCAGGTCAAACAAGTCCCTGCCATCCCGTGCCATGGCTCGCAGCATCAAATCCAAGGACTCTGAATCCGGACACGGCAGTCGATTGCAAATCAACGAGTCACCACCATGCATCCCTGATGGTGCACCCGACCCACCCATAAGGAACTGAACCCATGGATCAACCCCCCCTTCCCCCCTGCTTTCTCTCCCTTGTTCTTCCCCTGTCGCTCTGGACTCTGGTCCGGTCTGGGCTGTGGCGTGGAGGGTGGGAGGGAGGGAGGCGAGGGGGAGGAGGGAGAGGGAGAAGAGGTGCTGTGCGTGCTGCTGCAGCCCCGCTGCTAGGAGCGATTGGAGGAGCAGGTGGAGCGAGGAGGGGGTGAGGGGAGAGGGGGAGAGTGATGGTGGTGACGGGGCAGGTGATGGGCTTTGTGATGGTGACTGCGGTTGGGATGATGACGGTGATGGCGATGGTGATAGTGATAGTGATAGTGATTGGGGTGGAATATCGGTGGAGGAGGGTTGAGAGGGGGATACAGCGGGAGGGAGGAGGACAGGGCGGATGAGAGCAGAGAGAGACGCAGGGCTGAGGGGGTAGTGGTGGGGGGTGGAGTTGGATAGGAGAGTGAGGGAGAGGGGCGGAGCGGAGGGAGAGAGAAGGGCGGAGGAGTGAATCGCGTCCAATAAGGCCACCTGATGGGCGGGGCGTTGTGGGTGAGCAGAGAGGGGGGAAGAGCAGAGGCAAGGGTGAACAGGGAGAGGGATGAGATGGATGAAGTGAGAGAGGGGTGGGAGGTGAGAGAGGGTGGCAGCGCGGACAGTGAAGAGAGGGACAAGACAGGAGAGAGTGGTGGGACAGGAAGAGGTGCAAGCAGAAAAAGATGTGTCAATGGGTGAGCGATTGAGGTGGAAGGATGTATGGAGAGTGGTGGGTGGGATAGAGGGAGAGCACGTACAGACAGGATGGAGGGCCGCATGGATGAAGAGGAACGGCTGGATCCAAAGAGCTGTGGAGCATTCAACGGCTGTGAGAGGTCCAGATGCTGCATGGCTGATTCCAGCAAACCTTCAAGAACCCCTTGTGGTGATGCTGGCAATGGTGATGGCGATGATAATGGTAATGACGAGGACGCTGATGCTGCTGATGATGGGGCTTGCATCTCTGCCAAGCCTTCTCCTGCCAAGCCTTCTCCTGCCAAGCCTTCTCCTGCCAAGCCTTCTCTTGCCAAGCCTTCTCCTGCCAAGCCTTCTCCTGCCAAGCCTTCTCCTGCCAAGCATTCTCCTGCCAAGCCTCCTCCTGCCAAGCCTTCTCCTGCCAAGCCTTCTCCTGCAAAGCCTTCTCCTGCCAAGCCTTCTCCTGCCAAGCCTTCTCCTGCCAAGCCTTCTCCTGCCAAGCCTTCTCCTGCCAAGCCTTCTCCTGCCAAGCCTTCTCCTGCCAAGCCTTCTCCTGCCAAGCCTTCTCCTGCCAAGCCTTCTCCTGCCAAGCCTTCTCCTGCCAAGCCTTCTCCTGCCAAGCCTTCTCCTGCCAAGCCTTCTCCTGCCAAGCCTTCTCCTGGCACTGCTGATGCCAGAGGCTCGGCCTCTTGAGGCGGAGAGGAGGAGAAGGCGAGGACCGAAGGCGAGTGGTGGAAGGGACTGCTGCCCTCAAGCGGAAGCTCTGCTGATGTGGACGAGTGGTGATGCACGGTAGAGGTAGAGCGTGGTACGATGCGAGCTAGAACTGCCTCTAGTGCGCTGCTGCTGCTGCTGGCTCTCATTCTGATGTCACCACTATTGCTGATGCTCTCGCTGCTGCTGCTCTCAATACTGCTGCTGTCACTAGTGCTTCTGCCACTGCTACTGCTCTCACTGCTGGTAAAGGAGCTCTCCCCATGGCATGTGCCGGCCACGAGCGCATCCACGTCATCCACCACCACCACTCGTATGTCAGACAGCAGTGCTGCCACGTCAGGGTTTACAGTCTGCTCGTGCTGCTGCTGCATCGTGCTTTGCTGGCACTGCTCTTCCTGCAGCGATGCACCACCAACTGCCCCCGCTTCCCGTGCACCATCAACTGCACCGCTCTCCTGCGCACGCACCGCTGCTGCAGTCACTGGCAGCACGGAATCAGAAGTTTCCTCTGGAAAGGATTCTATTGCAGACGATCTTAGAGGCGGAGATAGAGGTGCAGGCGGAGCAGGGTGAGCGGGCAAGGACTCAAAGAGGGCCAAGAGCTGCTCGGGAGTTAACATCACCACACCACCCCCACCTCCCCCTTCCCCTCCCCCTCCCCCACCTTCTGCCTGCAACCCCTGCCCGCCCCGCCCCTCAACCTCTCTGCCTGTTGCCTCTCCCGTCATATCAACGGCTTCCGCCCCCCACCCACTTCCAGTACAACCAGCGCTTCCCCCGTCGCTCTCTCCTCTTCCCCCCTCCCCTCTCCCCCCGTCTCCCCCTGGGTTCCCCAGAGCAGTCTGCACGCGGAGCAGGCGGTCAGGGGAGCAGAGCACGAGCACAGAGGAGCGGGAGGCGGAGGGGGAGGAGAGGGCCGGGCCGGGGGGCGAGTGGTATACAATACGAGCCCCCAAAGGCGGAGGGGATGCAGTGGGTGGGAAGGTTGCAGGGAAAGCTGTTGCCTGGCTGCTACTGATGCCTCCATGTGTTGAGGATGCGGCCTGACTGTAAACATCATCTGCTAACACCTCCCCTGACCCTCGCCCTAGCCCCCTGCCAAGGCTGCTACTCTCCTCCCCACTGCTCCCCTCCCTGCTGCTCCTATCTCCACTGCTTTTCTTTCCACTGCTCCGCTCTGCGCTGCTCTCCCTGCTCCCACCTCTGCTGCGGCTGCTGCTGCGACCGCTCCTGCAGATAATGCTGCTGCTGCCACCTGTCGTGTACGGATTGGCTGCATACGATGCCAGCATGGACGCCAGCTGGCACGAGGGAACAAGGGGATGCCGCGAGACCAGCACGAGAAAGAAGCAGTAAGAATCAGATGTAGTAAGGAGGAATCAGAGGGAATTTCATAGAGTTTTACGGGAGAGCAAGAGAGAAACAGAGTGAGACGGAGGAGAATACGGAGAATGGGAAGTGATGAGAGGTGGAGAAGGGGAATGGCAAGTGGCAGGGAGGAGCAGGGAGGGGTGCTCACCACAATGCCCACAGCTGTTCCCGAGCCTGACTGGGCGCGGATAAAAGCATGGCGGTTGCCGGCTGGTGGGTGGGGTGCGGTGGGATGGGGGGAGGAGTAGGCGAATATCAGGTCGCAGTCGGGAAACAAGCAGTGGATCAGTCAGGCGTAGAAGGTGGTGATTGGTCGGACCAGACAGAGGCAGCAGAAGCTGCAGCTCCTCACAACAATGGACTTGGGCTGCAGGAGAAGGAGGAGTTCAATCAGTGATGAGTGTAGTGAGTGCAGTGAGTGGTAGTGAATGTAGTAAGGCCAGGGCCTACCGCGCAGGAGGTCATGCAGTGAGAAGTGTGCTGCTCTGCGTGCACGCCTGTGCGCCCGAGACGCCGCTGCTGCTGCTCTCCCTGCTTCAGACGCCACCATTGCCGTTGCTGCTGCTGCTGCTGCTGCTGCTGCTGCTGCTGCTTCTCTTGTTTCTGTTGCTGCTTCTGTTACTGCTGCTGCCAATGACGGCGCCTCTGTTGCGGCTGTTGCTACTGACGCTTCTGCTGCTGATGCCACTACTTCCACTGCCGAAGCATCCTCAGCAATAGGCCCGCAATCCGCGGCTTCACTCGCCTCACCACCTTCGCTCCTCTCCGCCGCGTGCGCCTGTCTCTGCTGCCACCCGTTACCCTTACTCACAGAGGACCATGTCCGACAGCCCCCCGCCCTCGCCGCACATGCAGCTAACGGGACGGCTGCACTGCGCGCTTTGCCTTGCGCGGTTACACTGGGACGCATCACGTGGCCCTTTGCGTTATTGCCAGGTGGCAGGGCGGGGAACCCGCTGGACAAGTGAAGGTTCGACACGGGAACCGCCGCAGCAAAGGGATTACCGCGACGGACGAAGAGACTCCCTGCGCGCACCGGGATAGACACCCGCTGGGGATCTCGACGCAGTGCTATTGGCCAGAGAGTAATAAGGGACCCTGGAGGTACCCTGTGTCTCGACCGCGGTGCATCATTGGCCTTTGATCCCGTCCGTGCGACGCGTGTCAGGTTACCACCAGGGGCGTGCGAAGGTGATGGTAACAACAGTATTTGCTCCGTTTTCGCTGCATCTGGCCGTTTAACAGCTGACGCCAATTCGCAGCGCGATGGGATCGTTCGAGCGGCGAGGGAGTTGGCATCCCTCCAGCACGACTGTATCACCTTCAGTCTCGCCATCTCGAATCGCGGAACGCAGATTGCTAAGGGGTCAGAGACATCCTCAGCTGCAGCAGTGCAGAAATGGCTGCTTCACAAACGCGGAGACGGGTGTGGGAAAAGGGACTAACAGAAGCGAGTCCTACACGACATTGTGGGAAAAGGGACGTGTGTGTGATAGGAGCCTACTGGATTTGGAGAGGTTTCGTTGGAAGCTTCTAGCTCCACGTTTACCCGACCAGTTATCCCCGCTTTCCGTAGAAGCCTCCATAATGGTTGTAGTCTGGGATTTCACTATTGATTAGTGGCAGCTCCGTAATGAAATTATTGCACTTATTCAATCTGCATATGTTGGTATACTCGTATATAATCACAAAAACCCTGAACGGAGGTGGTTAAACCAGTAATACATCAACAGAAAAAAATCATCAATATAAAATATGTCATTTACTGTTTCTACACTGGTGCACAAGTACCCGAATTAGCAGTAAGTTGTATCATAACCATTTGGCTATTGACTGAGTCAGATGAATCTTATACCGATCCATTCTGTATAATAATTTGAACCCGGCCATCCTTGTTTCTCTCGTGATTGCGGAAAAGAGGACGATAATTTTGTCGCTGGTAACCGTTTCGTCGTTTCTTCCGACCACATGGGGAAATGGCAGGAGAGGGCGTCGTGTGCCATGAAGGTTCTGCTAAGATGGTACCTCTACCGTACTAACATCCCTGAAACCTCGTCAAACATTTTCTTCCATCCCGATTCCGGAAGGACACGAAACACCCCTTTTCAACGAGCACGTGATGCTCCAGCAGTGCTTGGCGTGGTGGGCGAGAAAATTGCTGCCGCATGCGCAGCCGCCCACAAACGCCAATCCAACCAAGAAGCTGTCCTCCTACAACCTCTCTCTCGACTCAACTCTAATGCAAATGGCTGCAACTTCTCACCCTCACCGCACGAGGGGCCGGCCACTAATGAAGCAAATGGTGCGGGATCACTCTTGGTCGACACGACGAGAGACGTATATGATCTCGCAAGAAAATGGCTTGAAGATAAGCCAGTCTCAGAAATTCTCGACAGTCGTTTCGAAAAGCCAGTCTCAGAAATTCTCTCAGCGCTGCATTTTCTTTTCTCTCAGTCTCCCGCCCACAGCCACACACACACACAGAGTATCTTCAGCTGCCTTGTAACCTGGACAATGGAAGGCCCAAGTGCTGTCGAGGCGCATCTCGCTCCACCTTCCTCGTCTTCCCCTTCGACCTTCCGGCGCCCTCCTAATTTCGAGAACCTCCATCTTGCCGTTCCGCACTCCCCGCCGCTTCGCTCCCCCTCCAGCGCCGTCCCTCCACGCTTCAGCACTCCCAGGTCCAGCAGTGGCGACATCTGTAATCAAGGACGACGGGTTTCGCGCGACTGGCATCCGGCGGTCGTTTCCGTGGTCCGCAGCCCGAGCGCGGCGCTCGTGTCCATTTAGCCGTCGCATCGGCTGATATGGATCGCGTGTGGATCGAAGACGAGAGCCCATCGAACGAGTCCCTGCGTCCCGCCCACAGCGATGACTCAGAGTCGCGGTGGTTCTGGGCGTCGAATAAGGGAAGGCGAGGCGCGAGGAGGTCGTCTTTTGATTCGGAACGTTCTCTTGTCGTCCGTGCTCCCGTCCTCGTCCCTGGCAGCAGTAGCGTCAGCAGCAGCAGCAGCAGCAGCAGCGCCATCAATGAAACGCCATCACGATCGCCGGCTTTGGGGAGTTACTGCACCATCAAGGTTCAGACTTCATCTCAGGGTTATGTTACCAGATCGGTGGAGCAGACCAGTCGAAAGGCGTCGCCCGTCCATTCGCCGCGAAGCACCGCCACCGTTTTCCCATCAACGGTGAAGCCTCGCTCAAATGGTCATGGTGGATCCGATTCAGCGACAGACAGCGTGCAAGCCCCGCGTTGTCTTTGCTTTTCCGAATACACTGGCGTTCATCGCTGCACGTGCAGCCTCCACACACGCCTTTCCAGCCATCGGGATAGCTCTCTCGAAACGATTGCTTTGCGAAGGCGATCCTCGCTCGATGGGGAGAATTGCCTCGTCAGCTGCTTGGCTGGCAGCCCTGGATCGCGAGGAAGCTGCGGCTTTGCAACTGTTCGCCGCCGCGTGTCCTTCGACAAGATGGTTCACGTTCGTTACATTGGGGTGGTGGATAAAGGCACTTCCGTCAGGTACAGCGCTGATTTCGCTGGAAGCAGCTGGAAGGATGATGGCGGGGCCGACTGCATGACGAATGATGCGCCTCCCCCCTTGAATGCCACATTTGAAGGTGATGGCGCGGGTGAAATGCTGCCGAATGGTGATCGGAACAGAGCAGAGTGCACACAACAAAGGTGGCAATCAGGCGCGGAGAGCTATCCAGCAGTGCCCTCGGCCAGGCTATCTGACGATCTGTATGGTCTACTGCCGGAACGCAAGGTTCTTAGCTCAGAGGAGGCCTTCGCGCCAGAGCCCAGTTTCCCACTACCGCAAGAGCTTATAGAACAGCCAGACTGCCCCTCTCCGGCTCCCTCTGTTTTTGTCAGAATGGGCTCTGGATCCAAAGGAAACATCACCTCCATTAACTTTCCTCGTCTGGTCACATCATCACTCAAGTGTGGTCTCACGAAGTCTAGGACTTGCATTGCTTCTCTAGTATCATGAAACTACCGTTTTAACCCCAGTGCATTCTGAAGTACAGGGGAACACTACCTTGTGTGATTTGATGTGATCATGTGATGTGATAACCATGAAACTGCAAAACATGTCTTTGTATAACCATTTTCATCACAAGCCAAAGGAAGTTGCATTAATTTCTATCAGCTATTTTATATGAACTGTACCTCCAGCCGCATTCCCCCGATATCGGAATTTCTCGTCATCTTCGTGCCCTTCCCCTACTTCCACAGCACTTCCTGCTTCCGTCATCGAACAAAGGGGTTGACCAAATTAGTCGTCGCTTTTCGCCTCCCCTTTCGCAAGGTTGCAGACAGTGCAAAGGAAACGCGTTTTCGGTTTCGCAACGCGACAACGAAATAGCTCATCAGGCATTGTCTTGCGCAATTTGCCTCGCTCATCAGGTACATGGTTTCGCCAGCGCGTGACAAAGTTTTGTCCATTTCAACCTCGCTCGCCTCACCATGAATCCATTTCAGCGCGTGCAGCGCTGACTCAAGGGTCATCGGTTTTCTGCTGCAGCTCAGTTGGTGCACGATGCTCTTCTGTCTTTTTTCTTGTCGAGCTGACCTTCCCTGACTGACAGGCGAACCGCCCGCACCACGTGCTCCGCCATCCAGAAAGTCAACTCAGATTTTTGCCACGCCATTATCCAACCGATTACACGCCCCAGCAGCACTGGACGAAGCGGGTCGTTAATCGAGGAATCCACGACCACGAGGTGCTGGTAGTATTAGTGCTGCTCGCAATGCTTTCGAGATCAGTTCGCAACTTCTATAGTTTCACTCCATGGAATCAGCGGGTGAATTAGACTCTTCAAGCAGCAATCAGCACCGCTCATGCAAGATGTCTCGCGATGAAAAAGCATCGTTAACCTACTCACAGCACCGTCGATCCAAACCCGTCCGCGTATCTTCGCCGCAACCGTTCTCGAAGTCCCTTTCTCTTGACGACACCCGTGGCACAGCCGCAAACGCCGAGGGTCCAGCAGCTACCACTCGTCGCCATGCTACGAGGCGGAGTCTCGACATGGATGCTGCGAGAGAGGCGACGCACCAACGAGAAAGCCGCGTCGTCGCGGCTGATCCGCGCGGCGCCAGCGGAGGACGTAGTACGTCAGTGCCTTCCCCGCGCGGCCGCCAAACGTCGTTCACGTTTGCCGTCCACTCAGCTGCGGGATTGTCGGCTCCTTCAGTTTCTTCACTGAAACAGTTACCAAATCAACCGCCCTCCCCCCCAGAACAGATCAAGGCATGGCGGCAGGCCAGCAAGAATAATGGCATTCCCCATTATTCATTGAAGGCGACAACAGCCGGCGACGCAAAGAAGGCGCCCAGACCGCCTTCTTCAACCCCTCCCAAAGGCCCGCGCGGAAATGCTTTCTCAACGACACCTCAATTTTTGGAGGGCCGCATGAACGTCCCTTCGGTGGAACTATATGGCGTTGCAATACATGCAGATGAGCATGAGGATCTCTATCCTTCTGACACGACTACTAACCAAAGCGTTGCTGTTAACGACGTTTCTAGAGGATTTCGGCGTCACCATTCTGACCCTGGTGGTCGGCAGTATCGCCAAGATGGTGCTTTTGGTCGTTCCATTCTGCGTTCCTCTTCACTTCCAATGTTGGTTGAACAATCTTATGAAATAACTCCAGAAAGGAGTGGCGCACCTGAGAGTGAGGACCTTCAGAGGCTGCAGCAGGCAAGGCCAGCGCGCCGGGTCACCTTCAACAAGCTGGTGGAAGTCAGAGTTGTTCCTGCATTCTCGTCCGACAGGAGCCGCTATTAATCTGACAAGAACCTGACACAAACATCCCAAACACGCTGGATATCGGGATAATCTCCAATGCTGACTTGACTTAACTCTCAGTGCTAATGATCACAGTCCAAGAAGTTGTACACAGTTTTTGTTCTTGACTGTGCAGAGTAAAATGATATTTGATTTCTCCTTCTGGCCATAAGTCTTTTGTGTAATCGCTTATTAAATAATGCTCTGATGACGCTGTATTGATGTGAAACTTGAAGTGCTTCAGAGGAATGCTTCCCACATTCTTGGATCTGTCCGCGAATCGAGATGGGCAAGCGTGGCACCGCGCGCAGCTGTGCGGTGTCACTGAAACTGCAGCTGCGCAAGCTCCACAGAAGCTGGGAGTTCCCCTCAGCTCCGCTCCGCCAACATCCTCCGCCACACCCCGTCCCATTTCGCCCTTGGGGTTCCCTCCTGTCCCGTGCCCCTCATTGTTCGCGATTGGAAATCCTAGATTTCTTCGCCGAGCGCCCCCCCTCCTCTCAACCTCGATTTCATCGTGGACCTTTTCTGCCCCACCCACCCTCCATTGCCTCTCTTTCTTTCCTGCTCTGTGCAGGTAATCTGTAGTTCCAACGCTGCCCAGCGTAGCTCATGCTGCATATGCTCTAGGTTGACAGGCAAGCTCAAGGCTGCCACATTTATAGTGTAGCTTGGTACGAACGGAGCTACGCCTGTCATTGGAGCTAGGTCAGCATGGTGCTGGGTTTACGGACCGCGTATGGCTTCGTACAGGACATGCGATGCCTGTCCACGATGTGGTTCGGTAAAATAAAGGGCTCCACGCACAAGGATCGTCTGGAGTCCTTTTACGGACCACAAGCTCATGCGTGTAAGTTGTAGAACTTATTTCGTCGCAATGCGGAATCTACGATCAATCCACCCTGACCCAGTGGGATTTTTATATAATAGCTCAGATACAAGCAAACAAGCTGCATTCTCTAACTGCTTAACAGACAAGCAGAATCTTTCATCTGAGCTCAAGCACTAGACTCTTTTCTCGATCTTTTTCCTCCAAAACAGACGATCGTTTTCGCCGGAACTTCCTCCATGGCCGAAAGCCCATGCTCGCAGCGTGCGCTGCGCGTCTGCGAGGCTCCACCGACATGGTGTGGGTGGATCTGGGCGGCGGCACGGCGGAGAACGTGGAGATGATGTCGGAGTATATCGATCTGTCGTCCTTCAAGAAGATCTACGTCGTCGACATCACGCCGTCGCTCTGCAAGGTCGCGCGGGAGAAGGCGAAGCAGCGCGGGTGGACCAATGTGGAGATCGTGGAGGGCGACGCGTGCAAGTTCGTCCCCCCGGAAAAGGCCACATTGGTCACTTTCTCCTACTCCCTCACCAGTAAGCCATCTCCTGCGTTAGACCATTGCTGATCGTTAAACCTCGCCAAAGTCACTGCCTTTTCCTGAAGAAACATGCTGAGGAGAATGTATCACTGGCAATGCTACGTCCTGGAAGCGGAACAGTAACGTAGCGATATTCTTCAATCTTCTTTCTTCGCATTGTACAGTGATCCCGCCGTTCATGGATGCTGTAGACGCGGCTATGTCCTACCTCGAGGAGGACGGCATCGTCGGAGTCACCGACTTCTACGCGTCCGCCAAGTTCGATCTGCCGAACCGTCAGATGAACTACCAGGAGCGGTGGTTCTGGCGAGCGTGCTTCGATCTGGACGGCATCGATCTCACTCCCGAGCGCCGAACGTACTTGGAGCATCACCTCGAGCCGCGTGAGCTCTCGTCGCCTGTAGAACCCGTTTCCTTAGCCGTACCTCAGTCTTCGTTTTCACCATTCTCTCGTTCTATCTTGATCCCCGCAATCGATGCGTCAAGGTCTGAAGCTTCTTACCTGATCCGCGCCATCCTTGAGTTCACCTGACCCCGTTTCTTGCATCGTCCCTGTCCAGTGTACGAGTACAACGGACGTGGCGGCATCCCATACGTGCCGTACTTCCAAGCCCCTTTCTTCATCTGGATTGGTCGACGGAAGGACTGCAAGAGTGAGTGCCATTATTAACTCCATCACATTTCCAACTTCCGAGCAACACCAGTCCAACGTCAGAACATTTCCAACTTCATCACATTCGCACGCAGCCCGCCTCTTTATGCTGGCGCCACCCTAACCTTCTTCCCACCCTTACCGCCGCACTCGTCCCGTCCACCAGTCGTGAACCTGAAGCGGTTCCCGTCGCGTGCGTCGGACGAGTTCGAGTCGAAGATCCCGCCGGGCTTCCCGCCGACGTTCCTGTACTCGCTGTCGTGGGAGGACCCTCGCGAGGACGACAAGGTGCTGGACATCAACCCCACCGACACCATCCTCACGCTCACCTCCGGCGGCTGCAACGCACTCGATCTCGTGCTGCAGGTACGCCGTCGCACTCACGAAACACTGGTTGGACGTCTTTTGAGTCGACCTGATTAAAGGATCACAGCGAGGACGACACGGTGCTGAACATCAACCCAAGCGCACCATCCTCACGCTCACTTCTGGCGGCTGCAACGAGCTCGACCTCGTGCTGCAGGTACGACAGGGCTCATGTCATGTCACAGGCTGCGTGGGACACCATAAGAAGCAAACTCTTGCGGAGGTTTAGGTGATTACATAGATTTGACTGGAGAGGTTCGGGAATGACCGCGCAGTCCGAACAGTGCTGACAGCTTCTGTCCAAACCCTCGTAAACCCCTCATGCGCTCATGAACCAATCCACATTATACCACGCCCATCCAATCCCGCAATGCAGGGCGCGGGCAAGGTGGTGTGTGTGGACATCAACCCCGCTCAGACGCTCTTGCCCACTTTAGTCGTTACACTCAGAAACGCTCTTGCCCACTGTTGACGATCATTCTCCTCTGCCGTTAATTGCCGCAATGCAGGGCGCGGGCAAGGTGGTGTGTGTGGACATCAACCCCGCGCAGAGCTACCTGCTGGAGCTGAAGCGCGCCGCTGTGATCCGGCTGCCGTTCGAGGACGTGTGGCAGATGTTCGGCGAGGGCGTGCACCCGCAGTTCACGACGCTGCTGGAGAGAGAGCTCGCGCCGTTCCTCAGCCAGGGCGCGCTCAACTTCTGGTGAGCGCCGCAACCCTTGAGGATGACCCACCCAGATTGACAGTAACCAAAACATGAGTATCCATTCCACCAGTAATGCACTTTCCAGCATCAGAATGCAAAGGGGGGTTAACGAGGGGGACCGACGAGAACAGTTGTAGTGTGTTGAAAATAGAGTCGCCCCTTTGATGTGAGGTACGACAGCCATCTCATGAATCCCCTCCTGTTGTCGGGTGTTGTGTGATGGGTCTCTCGCTACAGGAGGTGGAAGAAGTACTACTTCAAGAATGGCATTTACTTCCACGGTGAGTGCACAACGTGCATTAACGCTCCAGCCGCCTGGTGCATTAGTACTGTTTGAGGATCCACCGTGTACGTGCTCAACAGAAGGTTCTTGTGTGTCCCGGTGTCTGTGTCTGCATGGTTCGTGTGTGCAGGCGGCATGGGACGCCTCATCCGTGCTGTAAGGGTGCTGGCCAAGCTGACGCGCATGGTGAGTGTCATCAGCTGGAGCTCCCAACTGAGCGTTTCTTTCTGGGGGCATTTGCAATCAGGGGTTTGCTACTGAAGCTTGACCATGTCAGATAATGCATGCCACACAGTTTTCACAGTTGTTGCGGTCACGGGTTGCTGCGGCACAGAACCATGAGAATCAAGGTCTTTTGTGCTCCCTTGTGCGGCTGTGTTGTTGTGCGTGCAGGAGCATTGGATTGACGATCTCATCAACGCACCCAACGTGGAAAGCCAGTATCAGCTCTGGTGAGTCATTGCTCGAATCTTACTCTGGTCTTGATTCCTCCACATGCTCCTTGCGCCTCTTAGTATCCCTCACTTCATCTCACCAAGTCTGCAGAGCTTCTCATTCACCTTCCCTGTGAGTCATTCCCTTCCTCGACACACCCGCAGGACCAATACCATCGACCGGTGGCTGACCAGGGCCAACATCTTTGCGCGCATCTTCGGTTTTTTTTTCACCTACTGCGTGGTCTTCTGGTTCCAATATGATATCCCCTCCTTCCTTCGCCTCCCTACATACTCCCTCTCATCCCTCAATGCACGTGCAGGACCAACACCATTGGCCGGTGGCTCACGAGGGCCAACATCTTTGCTTTCTTCTTCACCAACCGCGTGGTGCTCTGGTTCCAACACGCTATGCTCCCCCTCCCTCTCCTCCCTCCATCCCCGCTCACCCCTCAATTCACCTGCAGGACCAACACCATTGGCCGGTGGCTGACGAGGGCCAACATCTTTGCACGCATCTTTGGCTTCTTCTTCACCAACCGTGTGGTGCTCTGGTTCTGCGCCGGCATCGCCCGCGGGCAGCTGCGCCTCATCCGCAAGGAGGACAACGTGTACCGCTATGTCGTGCGCTGCCTGGACTCCGTGGCTGAGACCACCTCCTTGGGAGACAGGTGAGGCGCATTAAGAAAGGGGCTAGGTAGTTGTGTTCATCAGCTGCGCCAGTGAGGTGTGTCGAGGAAGAGGTGGGGCTTGTGGGCAGTGGTGTCCATCAGCTGCGCCTCATCCGCAAGGAGGACAACGTGTACCGCTATGTCGTGCGCTGCCTGGACTCCGTGGCAGAAACCACCTCCTTGGGAGACAGGTGAGGCGGAATACGGAGGCGGTTAGGCAATGATGTTAATGTCTACCGCTACGTCGTGCGCTGCCTCGACTCTGGCTGAAACCACGTCCCTAGGGGACAGGTTAGCCTTGCTTGCTCCCACTTTCAACTGGTGAGGCTCATTGAACATTGGCTCATTCCCTTATAGCCTCTCCCCTCCCTCTCTCCCCCCTCCCCTCTCCCTGTTTTCCCCATCCTCGCCTCCGATGCCTCCATCACCCTCCTCATATGCCCCATGGTCCCCCCGTTGACCCGTTGTCCCTGTTGCCCCGCACCTGCCCCCCCCTTCCACAGCAACTACTTCTACCGCTGCTGCCTGACGGGCAAGTTTGCGCGCAACTGCTGCCCTCGCTTCCTGGAGGAGCCATGCTTCAACAAGCTCAAGGTCAGAATTACATTGACGCCTATCTGCTGCTACTGCTGCATCACCTATTTCTTCACTTGTACATTGATGCCTATCTCTCCAATTCCGTTTCTCCCTTCACACAGCTCTCCCTCCGCAGCCATGTCTCCTGCATCTCACCTTTGAATGCTCCTCCTTTGGCCCCCCTGACCATGCTGGACGTCAGGAAGCGCCTGCATGCACATGCACACCCCCCCTCACCCTTTCTCCCCCCTGCTGCCCGCCTCCCATCTCCCACCGACCATTGCTGCACGTCGCCCATGGTCCCCGCAGGTTGAGCTGGCAGCGCGGGAGTGCATGCACATCTCCACGTCCTTCTTTGTGGAGGAGCTGCGCGCTCGCATGTACACCAAGGTGCGTTCTTTTGTGTGACTTTTGAGATGATGTTCCCGCATGCACAACAAGGTGCATGGATGTACGGCCTGACTGCATGCTACCAAGGAATTACTGGTCGACTACTAGTTGCACGTACTAGGGCTACATTGGCTGTAGTCACTTCAGAGCGTGCTCTTATGTCCCACTGACATCCATGCAAAGCATTCTCTTCCATGTTGATATCTGGGGCCAAGGTATCCTCAGCCCACCAACTCAGGACTCCCTGGAGTATTCTGCATGCTTTCATTCTTTCATCATCCATGTGCCTGTGTTCCAAGCAGACTGCCTGCTTTCTGTCGAAGCTCCTTCTGCACCTCCTTTTTCAAGCCCGCCCCGTTCTATCTTTCACTCGCGTCTCTCTGGCAGGTCATTCTGATGGACCATGTGGATTGGCTGGGGCAGAAGGACATTGACACCCTCTGCCAAGCGCTCAAGGAGCAAGTCAAGGTGGGCTGGCGATGAATGGGGAATTGAGCCAATGAATCTTAGGCAGGGAGTGGAACATTGAGATGGGTGCAGTGCAATAGCAGGGGGTTCAAGGTATAAGCTTCAAGCATGCACTAATTCCATGCTTCCTGAATCGTGGAGTACGTTGGCTCACCTGCTTTGGCCATGATCCCCTTGGTATCTTACCCTACAAAACAGCCTGGAGGCCGTGTCATCTGGCGAAGTGCATCTCGGGACCCTGGTTATGCCAAGGACATCGAGAAGGCTGGATTCAAGGGTGAGCACGGGTCTTACAGTCATAAATAGGCGAGCCGGCAGGATCTCGCAAAGGATTACATGCGACACATTTGTCCCTGAGGTTAATTACCATGTTTGCCCAAATATACCAGTTTCCCAGCTCATGGTGGCCTAAGCTTGTGAGTCTTGTTTCTTTTTTCCCTGCAGTGGTGCAAGTGCGGTCCATCACGCAACAACAGTACATGGATCGGGTGAACATGTATGCGAGCTTCTATGTGGCCATCTGTGAAGGCGGGCCCGAGCCTGTCAACATCTTCAACAGCCCTCCTGACCCACTTGCCCCCACCCCTGCTCTAACAAACGGAGAAGCTTAGGCATGTCTCTGATGCTCCCATATCTAGAAATGATTATGCATTCATGTGCCTCAATCTCATATCCAAGTATTGACAGGTAGTAATATATGGTAGGCCTTCAGCTCATAGGCATGGTGAAACCATATTTCTTGCTATCATTTTTGTATTGCTCAAGCTGCTTTCACTGGATAGCATAGTAGATTCAAACAAACCAGTAAGTTCTATATTTTTACCAGTTATTCTGTCACTGATGTTGCAGCTTCTGTTCTGTTGATATCTGTTTTGACGTCTCATCATGCAAACAATTCCTTTTTGTTGATGATGAAAATGAATCTACAGCTGGCGTATATGCCATGTGACTGAGTGATATGTGATCATGTCTATATTGTTATCAGGTAGTAAACAAGCCCCTCTAGTCAAACGCGATTTCGTTACGAGCAGCACTCCCACGCACGAATCCTTGCAGCACATCACGACTCGAGAGGCGCCTCGGATTCGTGAAATCAAATGTCAATGCATGTCTCATGCCATCCAGCACACCACGTAAACTGCCTTGTCCCTTTTCCACAATTTTCAACCACCAAAAGCCGTACCAACCATCACCACCATACTGGCACCACTCCACGAGCACCCGTAGTACAGCTATCACTACTGCTCTCTTCAGGCTCATGTGCCCATGTGTTGGACCTGTTCTTTTCGACTTCGATGTGGCAACAATTTGGGTCGCCGGTTTTATGTTCCCACCACTTTCAGTAACGGTGTCACAAGGCACTCGGGAACTCCGATCGCCGAATGTTGTGGCGTAATCCTAGTAGTGCCGCTTTCCAGCAGAAGATGTACGTCAGCCGTGCATTGCCAAGATCAGTCGCTCCATGACCCCAGGCACGCAAAGCTACGATTGCACGATGTCGAACAGTTTATCAGGCGCCTCATAGAAAGCTCTGGAGCCTCGCATCCACAAAGTAAAGTGTAGAAGGCGTTTTTCCTCGTCTGGATGAAAGTAGCAGGCGAGAAGTGCGTCGTCGGCGGTGACGGCGGTTCTATCAGCGACGCCGAAGGATCGGAAATAAGATCAGCCATGAAACACTGCACGGTCGTCACTTGTTACAGCCTGTCCTGGTTCTTGAATCGACGGCCGAGACTGCGAGAGAAGCAGCAAACTAGCACACACGAAGATCTCAACCGCCCAATCAATCGCATCAGACTCTATTCGCCGCACGACGATGCGACGACGAGGGGGATACGATTCTACGTTGCTGCTCCTAAGGAGGTGGAGACGGCGGAGGCGGAGCACCGGGGCCAACTGGAACAAGGGAAGGAAGAGCTGGAATGGGGCCGTGGCTCGGCGGAGAACGACGTTTTAGGTGGTGTTGATGTGGACAAGCCGAAGGGAGCAATGAAGCAAAGAGGCACTGGCACGAGGAACGGCTCTGTATTGACTCGGACGCATCCAATCCACAATGACGGCCCCAACGACAAGCCTTCCGCCAAACCCTTCCCCAGCCTCTCCCCGGCGCCTTCCGCTGCGCCCATCACCTCCCCCCTCTCCCCGCAATCCGACGTCTCCAGCAGCAGCGAGTCACCGTCCGATTCGGAGACTCCGCGCCCGTCACGGACGTCCATTTATTTTTTTTCGCGCCTCTCCTCGGACTCTGGTGGCTCGTTGCACGACTCTCGCCGGTCGGCATACGAGGCGCTTCCATCTCCGGCGGGACACGACGCCCCATCCGTCACCCCGGGACCCTTGGAGGCGCAAGCGTTGAATTCCGCTAGCGTGAGCCTGCCGACTGCAGCATTGCCACCGGCGGCGGCGACGGCAGCGGCGGCTGCGTCGGCGGCCGAACGAGAGGGGAAATCCGTGGTGGGTCAATCAACTGCGAGCTCTGCTACAGATAGTAGTTGTTGGACCGCCTCGGAATACGAACCCAGCTGTTCCGAATCGACGGATACCGGCGTGCCTATAGCGCAGCCGTGCACAATCGCCGACGCGCAACTGTTTGATTTCCATGTGATGGACGGCGATTGCGCTACTACCGCCAGCTCAAGCTGTTCTGACAACGTTCCCATGGCGTATGCGCTTGACGGCAACGTTTCGTCGGAAGGAACCTCCCCGCTTGACGATCTGCGGCTAGTAACTCGCAGTTTCAGCGAGAGAAGCGGTGTTAGTAGCGGCGCTAAAAGCAGCAGATGGCGCGCTGCCGCTCGTCTCAGTGTCGATTTCGGCAGCAGCCCGGGGGCCTCCGCACACATTCCGCGCACAGCGCTTCCCCCGGAGCTTCTGGCGGTCGTCCCGCGCGGCGGGACGGAACCGAGTTTCGCTGGTACCGCGGAACGGGGCGGAACGGTTATGAAGCGCGCGCTCCCTCTTGCGCGGGTTCCGCCGCGTAAAGGCCTTGGGAGCGCCGCGCAAGCGAATCGGCGGATTCAGAGGCGGTTCTCCTCCCCGGGGCGGCCTCAGACCGTTGCTCGCGAAGCGCCGTTGATGGACGGCGAGGATCGCGTGTGCGCCACCCAGATAGTAGCCGATCGACGGTCACAGGCTCTCCACGAACGAGTGAGAATCAATCGGACTGCTCGACGAGATCCTGTGCTACTCGCGCGAAACGCGAGTGAGCGGGCGAGCCCGGGGGAGGCGGCAGAAGACGGAGGAGACCGGGGCGGCGGGGGAGAAGCGCTTCCGGGTGTGGGGGAGGGCGGAAGCGAGTCGTGCGCGGGGGACGCGGCGTTGAGGATTCTGAACGCGGGGGCGGGGTCGAGCGCGGGGAAGATGGCTGGCGGAGTCAACGGCGAGCGGACGGTTCCGCGCACGCCGCGGAGCGCAAAGGTCGTTTTCTCCTTTCGTGAAGGCCAAACGAGGCCCGTCGCGCAGCAAACTGGTTACCATCTAACCTCGCCAAACAACATTCGTATGACCTCGCGAAACTCTTCTCCCAAACCGCCACTGAGGCGAAGCACGTCGTCGAGCGCCCTGAAAAGCACTTCCTTGAAAACGCCAGGAAGCGCAGGGAGGTGCCACAGGAGAAGCACAAGTGCGGCCTCGGGGCGAGCCGAGACGGACAGCAGGCAGAAGGCGAGCAGCGGTGAAGGAGAGCGCGAGGAGAACCTGGATGGCTCTGCTGTGGGTTCTCTGGACTTTATTGATTTCCCTACCCCTCCTCTGATTCGTTCTGTGGCTTCTAAGCAGGTCGAACCCAGCAGCCCATCCAGGCAGCTGAAGCATGGCTGTGCCAAAGAGCATAAGCTGGGTGGGAAGAGGCCAGACACTTGTTTTGACTGCCTGAATGAGGGGGACGAGGGGATGTTGGAAGCAGGGCACATTGGAGGAGGCGGTGTTGCAGGCACTCCAGGGAGTGGAAATCCCGACATACAAAGATCTTGCACAAATTCAGTTGCCAAAGTTTCTAAAAGGCAGGGGAAACAGCAGCTGCCGCTAGGGAGCATGTCGGTGAAATGGCATGGCGCCCCGCTTAGGCTTCCCACGTCTGACTGCGGCATTCAAGCTCCCTGGGACGATAGCCCCCTCCATCGGTCTTCATGGGACGATTGCTCCCCATCAGACAATGTGCCCACTTCTTGCCCCATGACAATCCAACCCAGCCAGGTCCCAGCTTCATTGACTCAAGCTCCACGCATCGGGAATGGGTCTTGGAGACGACCCAGCGCGAGCACTAATGATGACGCTGACATTGCCTCTGCCCAAAGCTATGGGGCACTGAAGGGTGGCACACAACAATTGGAAAGGGCGAAAAGCAAAGAGATTGGAGAAGAGAAGCTGAAGAGTACAAGTGAGAGGCGGGTCTCATTCAGCAAAGTGATCCGAGTCAGGAGGATTATAGCAGATTGTAAGGGCAATGAAGGGCTGCTACTGACAATGAATTAGGAAGACAAAAATGCTGAATTGATTTTATTGTAGATGCATAAGTAGTTTGATATCGTTTATTGTTGCACAATGGGAGTGCGACCTGAACAGTTACCGGGGACAAGAATGAAACCAGTTCACATCGAAATGTTTTCAGATTACCCTCCATGACCATTTGAGCTTGTCCAAGTGCCCGCTTCGCTCGAGTAAACGGGACTTTCTGCCTTACAGCTGGAGGTATGAGTGGAGGGGGGATGAGTTGAAATTTCGAGAGATGGGAAAACAAGAGGCGCAGGTTCTGAATAAACTCCCCTTCCTATTTGTTTGGACACACGTGATGCACGTCCAAGAGCTCCTGTGGTGTTGGTGCAAGCTGGTGCGAATGAGACACGCCAGCGCGCATTCCGCACCTCGTTCGCCACGCAGCGACACGTCTCACACGTGCCCAGTGAACCGCAATGTGTTGGCAGCATCGGTTGTAGAGGTTGGCACGGCATAAACGACGTACACTGTAGATGTGTCGACACCACGTGGCAAGCACTTTTCGCGCGGATTACGGGTTCAGGTGGAGTTTCGCGGGCGAGGCTGTTGCTGGCATCGCACGAGATTGACGAACCTGCTTTTGCTGACTGACTGACACCCGCGGGGCTGTTCCTTTCACACTTGTTCCTTGGCGGCGCCGAATCGCATGGTTTCGGATAAAATTTTATCGCGAACGGATTGATTGTGCTGAGCGAAATCGAGCACAGTGCCCGATTGCCTTTCGTCAAGTAACCCGATGTTGGCAAGTGCTCGGGGTTGCTGTGCTTTTCGCTAAGCTGTCTCACGACTGACACCAACAGTATGTGCAAATGGGACCGAATGAGGTGCTTTGCTTTCTAAACCGATTCAATAGACCTCTTAAACGGTTGGGAATGGTATTGACCAAACTGTAGTCTGCAACTTTTCGCAACTCGTCTGGTCTTGGTGGGTTTTTCCCTTTTCCCCGCCCTCGTTCCCTTTTCCCACTTTCCACCCATCATCTTCCAAGCCAAGCCATGACCGTTTTTGTTCCAGCCACCCCCTGCTCACACCCCCCTCACCTCACCCCCTTGGTTCCTCCCGCGCCCCCCAAAACGTCCTCGGCCAACTGACCAGGAGACGGGCCATCGAGAGAGCCGCA